TGTGACTTATAGCTCCTCCGCTTAGCCTCCAAGTGCGTCTTTTTTGCCAAACACGCCATGTAGGTAGGTATCAAGATGTCTTATTGACAGAAACACCAATGCCTGTAGCGAGCCAGATTACAACCTTTAGTCGAAGCAGCGCACTTCAACCGTGACCAGGTCAGCCGAAGGACAGTCGTCAGGGATGATCCACGAGCAATATTCAATATCGTCCTCCGATCCTGAGCATGCAGGCTTTGCATCAGCTTGGAAAAGGGAAGCTGCTGGTACCGGATTGGAAATGATGTGACTTATAGCTCCTCCGCTAGGAAACCCAAGGCTTCGACAGAGTACTTGAGCATCGGCATCGGTCAAGCCACCACAAACGGTGTACCGACGCCAGAAGTATCCATCCATGTCGAAGTGCTCAAGAATTCCAGTCTGGCAGCTACTGTTATCAAGTCTAAGCAAAATACGGTGCGTGCGCGATTCTGCATGAACACAACGACAGAAGCCTTCATAGCAACCCAGTTTCGTGGATGTTGCAGCACACTGACTTGGGGTGTTACAACGATCTCCGTATTCAGCCCCCAGCGAACACCTAACGTTAAATTCTTTCCAGAAGCCCTCTGCACAAGTGCACACGCCATTCACACACGCCGCGTTGCTGGTGCGGAAGTGGCACTGGGCGGTGCTGTTACACGACTCGTCCAGTCGAGGGTAGGCCCGGCAGGTGATGTTGCCGTCGTTCCAGTAGTTAGGTCGGCAGGAGCAGCGCTGGCCGCCGTCGCACATTGCCCGCCGACTGTCGCAGTCTTCAGAGACGGTGCAGACTTCCGAGAGCCGCGCTCTGCGGCACGCCCCGGCGTCTGCCAGCAGTCCCCGGCGGCACGCGCACACGCCGTCAGTGCACGCCGAGTCGGTCACGGCGCCCAGACAGTCTGCGTCCCGGCGGCACGGCTCAGAGAGACGCGGGTAGGGCAGGCACCGGCCGGCCACCACCTCTTGGAGACCTTCCCCGCACCGGCACCGGCCGTCGGCGCCGCACTCGGTGTCTTCTTGCAGCTCGCTGCACTCGGTGTCAGTTCGGCACGGCGCACCCAGCACCGGGGGCAGCGGGTCACGCCGGCGGGATACGGCGGCCAGAGTCGCCGCGAGGCTGTCTAGGCGGCCGGAAATGTCGGCAAACCTGCGGTCAGAAGCACGCAGCAGTTCCTCCAGCATGGACATCAGTCTGTCATCGTTGTTCGGTGGCTTTTTTGGTGTCGGATTGTCGCCTTCTTTAGCAGCAGCGTTGGACACTATGGTCACCTGGCCATCGTCCTGAGAAGGGGTTTCTCTTAGATGGTCTCCGGGAGTATTTCTATAACTAGTCGGCTGAGCAAATCCAGCACTCGCTATAAGGATAAATAAAGACAGCAATAACATCGTCTCGACGAAATACTGCGTGCCTAGGCAGTTGTTCACCAATAAGAGCCACTTCAATTACACAGGACGGCCCCACGTCTCCCACGTAATCGGAACTACTCTCTGGCGCGGCGTGGCCAAAACTGCCAGTGATTTCAACCCTACAAGCTGACCCATTATACAGCCGAGCGCTCACTGTTTACATATACCGGGTGCGAACATGTCTGGTCGGGGCCTGGACGCCTGCTGGTGACTGTATGCGGACTGCATAGACAATACTTGTCTGCTATACTGATCATCTGTCAGCAGGGCAACGCGAAGTCTGTCGACTGCAACTAAGCACATATGTAGTGCGTCGCCACATAGTCCTCTCAAAAGGAGATATTTGCCTAGCTTCCAACTCAGCGTTGACCTGCGCCCCTCGGGCCCGCTAGAAAATACATGCATTGAATGATTCTTACCTTCTCAATCAAGTTAATGAATCCGTCAATTTCACAGTTCCGCTATCAACGACCAACCGCTCTCATATGATAGCCGCGACCGCCTTGGCCGCGACCATGGGAGTCTTGGCGATTTACGAGTCGCGTGCGCCGCCAGACTTGTCTGTGGCAGTCAACTTATGTCCTTCTCACGCCATGTGTAAGTTAAGTGTAACTGGAGAGACATAAGCGGCGGATATAGACGTCGTGCCATTGGTCATGCTTGAACGCGACTGTTGCAAGGTCGTCTGAAAGCCACGCGATGGGACCGCCACCACACCCGTCTCTGCTGCGCAGTCCGAGGGGGGGGGGGGGACACTACACCTGATGTAGGTATGCTACACACTGACTCGGAGCCAATCACTTATCGGATATTTCCGCTGTTGCCTTATGGTTTTCGTAAACGACGGACCGGCTGATCATAAACGGTATCTTCAGACTTATCCTAGACCCTAGTTCTGCTCTCCAGCTTCTAAAATCAAAATAGTTCCTCACCCATTCTGCGAAATAGTATCACTACCTTCATCCACATTCATCAATAATCAGTTATGTCGTAAATACCAAACACCACAGAAAAGATTAGAACGTTTACGTACCGTTAGGCGGCATAGCTTATAAAAACGGGGCAGTCTTTAGGCTCAGGGTCAGGGCCAGTGCTCTCGCCTCTCTCATATGGGTACGGCCGTCCACCCAGAGTGCCAGTGGCGGGGCGGGGCGGGGCTGCGGATTGCCGACCGGTGTGGTCTATCGGTTAGTGGTGCCGACCGGTCGACATTCTACCAGTGCTGGCGCGGTGCCGCGAGCTGTGCGGGTAGCCTAACTCACAGGGAGGTGCCGGACAGCGGCACGGGGACGACAGCCCGCTGCATAACGTAATCCTGGTATGTATTTCATTCTCAGCTCTCGTGAACTTATGCTACACTGTAGCGGCTAATAACCACGCTTCGTGGCATGTAATTAGCATCCGAGAGGGCCAATCAATTTTACTCCATAATTTTCAACCACTTACGATGAAGTGCCCGTCAATTTTATGACTTTTTAGGTCTGTACAAAAACCCAACCTTTTGATTTGCAAGCGCAGGTTAAAACCAAGTTAAAACCCTCGGACACGGCCCAGGCCGAAAAAATGGTTACTCAAGGCTTGGTATAAAAGTACAAATCAGCTGTGTTGGGTCGGGTATACGTATACACTATACAGTCAGCTGTGCCCAACAACTAACGAGACTCGACAGAACGCACGGTGCTCATACAAGTCAACCTCGTCAATTATGTGTTGTGTTGAGCCCACAAAGTCTCGTCAACACGCACTGTGCCTATGCTCACCGGCCCTCGAGTAATGAACTCAACGAGCCTCGACAGACCACACTGCGCCCTCCCATCAGTGAGCATCGGCACTGAGTGCTCTTCTCAGTGGGTGTCGGCAGCGCCTCCATTGTCCACACATAATCGGACAAACATCCGTCAAATGAAGCGCTGTTCTGGGACCGTTTTTATCCGCCGCTCGGCTGCGGGGCGGGCGTTGTTGTGAGCTCGGCGCGGCGATCAGAGGGGGTGTTACGCACGATAACTGGTCAGCTCCCGGTGGGGTGCAGTCATCTCTGACGGCAACCACAGCGGGCAGTTGTCAAACACCGACAGCGGCTATCTCACAACCATGAATACCAAACACTGCTGACGGACGACCTGGGGAACAGCAACAGATGGTGGTGACCGGTGCAAGGTCCCAGAGGCTACGTGGGCATGGAGGAGCCCCCGAGGGCCGAGGGTCACCTGGGTATGGCGGGGCCCCTGAGGGTCACCTGGGTAATAAGTGGGTATGGCGAGGCTCCTGAGGGTCACCTGGGTATGGCGAGGCTCTTGAGGGCGAACTGGGTATAGAGGGGTCCGTAAGAGCCACGGGGGTATGACCGGGTTTCCTGACGGCCACCTGGGTGTGTCTGAGCCTTTGAGATCGATCTAAGAGGCTAACTAACTGTCGACGACAATCAGTTCCTGCCCGTTGGACCGCTGGAATGGGTTTGCCACACCCTGGCTCTCAGCGCCAATGGGCCGGCACCGTCTACAGTATCCGCCGGCGCTCCTAGTCACGCCGGCCGCCGCCCACTGCGTACCCCCTGTCGATAGCCCCCCCCCCCCGCGGAGCCGACATCCGGCACTGGCCGTCAGCGGTCGGTCCGGCCGGGGCGGAGGCGGGGGCGGGGGCGGCGCAGGGCCTCCGGCCAGGGCGGGACCGTGACCGTGAGTCGCCGGCCGGCCGGCCTGCAAGGTCACGGCAGTTCACGGCAGCGCTGCCGGCCGGCGCCCAGGGCCGTGACCCGTGCCGCGCGGCAGGGGGGGGGGGGGGGAAGGGGCGACACTGACCGCGCCTATCAACGGGAACCAGACCACGGCGTTAGTCCACTGCATCGCAGCGGCGGTCCATTTATGACGGCGTGGGTGGGCACTGGGCATTTACAAAGCGACTGAAGCTGGGAATTTAGGTTCCGAAAAGGAACTGGGAAATTCGATAATCTGTCGGCTGTTTCAGAAAGTTTAACGCATTGAAGCACCCTTTGAACTTTCTTTCGCATAAAGTGAAGTGTTTCTTTATCGCTGATATTTTTTTTTTGTTCCCTTCACATTTGCCGTGAGATGGGAGGGAGGGGGGGAGGTTACGGTTTTTGGCCATCTTAGGTTTTCGCGTGTTAAGAAAACCACGATGCACAGCGCCGCGACACTTGATCTAGCTTACCATACGTCAATTTTGCATCATGTGTAAAAATTCCATCTCAGGTCACCCACTAAGGTCAGGTCACCAGCTCAAGTTAGGCAACCGTGTCTCTAAAAAGCTTAACGATCCTGTCATTCCTACAGCTTATCCCCTGGAAGATTTAACTTCGGTGTGTTGGGTGAGGGACGAGGGCATAAGCACAAACAACTTGTATACCCCAGATAACGACAACCATTTCTAGCGGATAACCTAGAGAGCATAGTGTTATAGCCCTCCCCCCCCCCACACACACGCACACATACACTGTCAAGTGTGACAACAGCACACCGATGCTTTAGCAGAAGCTGAACTGTTCTGAAAGGTTGTCCCTTATCACTATGCTGATTGCTGCATTTGATGGAAAATCATTACGTTTAAAATACATCTACGAAATTGATGATATATTTGACCATATGATGTGTTTTCAGTATAAACCAATGCGTGAGACATAAAGTTGACGTTCATTCACGTCTTATCACTTAAACTTTTTGAACTTTGTTTTGAACTCCTTGGCGTTTGCCGTCTGCTCGTCGTTGGGTAGCACGCACTGACTCCACTCGACTCTGTCGGGCATGTTGAGCAGCGGCGGGCAGGCCAACATCGAGCGGCCGATGCTCAACGGAAGCTTACCGGCCACCTTGTGGTACAGCTTGACGCCGCCGGGCAGCTCGACGTAGAGGTAGGGCGCGCCGGGCGGCGCCAGCTGCCGCACGTCCGAGAGCGGCGGCACCTCGTCCAGCGAGACACCCTCGCTGTCACAGTGGTCCTGGATGGCCTCCTTCAGCGCCGGCGCCACCCGCGACGGCACCGGCACGCACTGCACCTGCAGGTGCGACTGCTTGTAGTTGCGCTCGAAGAACACGACCGCCTTGTCCTCGGCGGCAAACAGCTGCTGCAGGCGCTGCTTGTAGGCGCCGATCTCCGCCCAGAGCTCGTCGTCGGCCTCTGTGGAGGCGCGCACGTGCTCCACGGGCAGGATCAGCACGTGGTCGGACACCAGGCCGCCCTTGGCCAGCGCCAAGTAGCACTTGTCGCCCACGTTCACCACTAGGTGTTTCTCCACCTCGGGGGACGCCAGGCAGAACCAGCAGGGGGTCGGCGGCGGCCGGTCGGCGCGCGGCTGCTGCCGACGTCGTTTGGCCGCCGGCTCGCCGCGTCCGTCCGTCGCGTAGAAGTACTGTTTGGCCGCGTCGTCTGCGCCGGCCGCGGCTGAGGCCATCTCCTCAGCCGAGAACGGACATTCGGTGACATCGGGCGGCTGTGTCACCAGATCGGCACGCGCCATCCGCGACATGGGCTCCAGGCCGAATGCGTACAGCCACTTAGCCTTCTCGGCGTTGAAGGCTGCTGCTAGCGAGATGAAGCGCGTGACGTGTGTCTGCTGGTCGCGTAGCACCTGGTGGTTGCGGTAGGGCAGCCGCTCGTAGTGCATGGCCAGGCCGCCGCTGAACACGTAGCGCGGCCGCAGACAGTAGAGCAGGCGCGCCGTCAGCAGCGAGCCCGTCTCCTCGGTGTAGACGCCGGCCGGCACGGCGGCGCGGCGCGTCACACCGCGCGGCCAGCCCGGTGTCAGCAGCACGTCCACACCGGCGGCGCTGGAGGCCAGCAGCGCCTGCTCCAGCGCGCGCACGTCGGCGGCGCTGGGGTGCTGGCCGTCGGCCGGCGCCAGGTAGGCCACGCTGACGCCGCCGGTGGAGGTGAACACACCCCGCTCGCCCAGCGCCACCACGTTCGGACACAGCTCGTCGTCGTCGGCGTCCGGGTGGAGGTGGCGCGGCAGCCGGCCGGCCGAGCCGAGCACGTACGTCTGCAGCGGCACGCGCCGGCTGCCCTCCCGGTATGCGGCCCACTCGCTGTTGTCCCCGCTGCCGAAGAAGTTGCCGCAGCAGAGCAGGAATTCAAATGGGCCATTCTTTTTGTTAACCGTCGCAACACGGTTGAAAACTTGATTGAATTTGCCATCGATGTTGCCACACACAAGTATTTTCACTGGTGGCATTGCACTGTGTTGTAGATAGTAGATATGAAAAATGTCCTTTTATAATCTTCCAAGTAACAAAAGTGGCTCTTGTAAAGCTGGCACCATTGGCAAATGAGACAAGTTTGCAGCTTGAAGTGCTGGTATCAGGAGTTTCTCTTCACGGCTTCTTTGGCATGATGTGCTGATAACCTGGAAAAGAAAATTCAATTGAATGAATGCACTCAGAACATAGTCACAAATCTATACTGTAATAAGTACTGAAAGCATTACAACTAAATGGATATCAGAATTCAGACTCGGCAATATCTGAAGATATCATGATGATGACTGTGGGAGAAGTTGCTGCCAGTTGAAGCCAATTGAATTTTGAGGCCATGCAAATTGAGGAAAAGTACACAGGCCTTGTCCAATTTTCATTGCAGATGCCGCTGATTTACTTTGGCATATAATCCAGTAATAGTAAAGCAGGAGTCACACTTTTTTCTTTCTTTTTTTTTGCAACCAAGGAGAGGTGCTGTTGATAAGGTTGTATGTTGTAGGTTTTAGGTAGTGAGCTTTAGGTTATAGGTTGTAGCTTTAGGTTGTAGGTAAGGTTAGGTCAGGTTTGGTTAGGTTTGGTTTGATTAGAAACTCAAGAAAGCATCTCTGGGTATAGCACCTCTCCTTGGTAAAAAAAAAACAAGTGTGATGCCTGCTTTATGACTACCTATAATCTTCCATTACCCAGTATTGCCCAAAAGAATGGTAAACATAGAGAATGGGCCTACTTAGTACGCCCTGCTTAGCATGGACCTTATCACCATCAGTCTTTCTGCTACATTTCATAGGTGGCTGTTAAAGCCAAATGTATGGTTTTTCAATGCTATATGAGTTCAAGACATTCTTAATCTGTAAATACTGGCCACTGGGTTCTATGGAGTAAGGTTTCATAGGTGACGCAGCACTCCATAAATTACAACATACCTACTGACATTAATCTATAACAAAACATTTCATCGTCACAAACAAGTACTTGTTTCCCATTGTTGACCTTGCACTTAAATATCACAAGATTATCACTATACTGAAACCATTTCAATTTCAACTTGAACTTCTTGTTCTGAAGCCAGTCTGTACTCTGTGACTGTACTGGTACGTTCCCCATTCATTTTCATTGCTCCCTACTGTATCGAGAAGCTCAGAAAGGTTTTGACAAATAGCAAAGTACGTATTGTATGCAATCCCAGGTTTAATATCACCCGCAATAAAGAAAATAATATTTAATTACCACTCATAACATACTATACGACCGGCACCAACTGTAGTCGATGCAGGGACGGTGAAGAACCTCGGACTTTATCTCGACCGCCATCTGAACTATCAAGCTCACATCACCGCCATGGCATCAAAATGCACAGGAATTTTAATCGCTCTCAGTCATGCCCGCCACGTGATGCCAGCAAACACACGTAAGGTAGTTGTTCAAGCCCTAGTCATATCGATCGTGCGGTATTGTATAAGCGTGTATGGGTCGTGCGGTGTGACCCAGATGGCTCGTGTCCAGAAAATTCTCAATTTCTGTGCCAGAGTCGTCAGTGGCCGTAGACGCAGCGACCACATCTCTGACGTCATACAGCAGCTCGGCTGGCTGCGGGCAGACGAATTAGCCGAGTACCACACTATCTGCGCAGTCCACCGAGCCATCACATCGGGTACTCCTGAACATATCAGTGATACCATCGGTCCTGTAGCCCGCGACATACACGACCACAACACCCGAAACGCAGGGCTGATAACACAGCCACGGGCCCGAACAGAGACGGGGAGACGTCGACTATGTATTAGAGGAGTCGCGATGTTAAACGGTACCGAGTTGAGCCCGTATATACCAGCGTTTCGCGCCAATGTGAAGCGTGTGATCAATGATCATGTCGAGACGCCGAGTAGCTGTCTGAACCTGTTCCAGTCGCACGCTTGTTTGTGTTTGCCAGTGATATCTATGCCTACTCGTACTGTCTATATGTTCCCCGTTTTATCTGGTTTTACGTGTCTGGTGAAAAGCCACTTTTATTGTGGATCCTAGATGAATACACATCTGTATCTGTATCTGTATCTGTACCATCCATCAAAAGTGATAAGCATTTTTTGTAACATCCGCGCATGAATCGTACTTTGAATAGAAATCCTCCCTAAAACCCTGCAACTCAATTTAAAACACTGCCAAACATCCCGCTCAAACAAATGGCCCTTATTCGTTTATAGGTATCTTGCAAATAACCTTCCCTACGCAACCACTGAGGAACCATTTACCCACCTGATGCCAGCAACTTTGAAGTTCATGATATTCATTTTATTTCTTCACGTTTTCCTGCACGCAGAATGTCTGCGACTGCGCCGGCTCCAGCATGATAGGTAGAGTAAGAAAGACCCTGGACCCGAACGGCACCTTTCACATTCGACAAAAAATAGCTCAGCTTGAGACGATGCGTTCCGCGGCATCACTTCAGCCAGTTAGGCTTAGTGACGATCCATCTCTATTGCCAATGCCCTCACAACCTTCCCTTCCCATCATCTAGCCCATCTTCCTTTAGGTCGACAGAGGCCGAACTGAAGAAGAAGGGGTAACCGATGGTTAGTTATCCATTTCTGCCAACGAGTTCATTCTAGCGCTTGATGGTTAAGCACATTGGAATGTTTGGCGCATTGTCAAATAATGACAACACAGGCTGACTAGTGACTGGACCCAGATTCGGACGCGGCCTCTTTGGAACCGAGGAAGAATCTTTGACCTGCCTTTATTCGGACCAGTCGCGTTCAGCTAACGCAATGATGCATGCGAGACTTGAGCGTCAAAGCAAAGAAGAAACAAAAAGAAGAGACAAAACGACCGGGTAGTAGGCACTATAAGTTCACTTTATATTTCATAGGGCAATCCCGGTAAAAACTGGCACTTCATAAATCAGTTCACATACAGACATTCAGTCATTCAAGTTATATGATACCCTATGAGACCCATAGATACACAATAACAAAGAAATTATGTTTCACTTTGAGACAAAATAACACACCTTAGTAACTTGTCCGCCATAACATGTTTCACCCATACGCATCGCTCCGTCAAATGAACAACAGCTCGCACTACACTTAACATATTTCCACGCTTAGTCTAAGCTCGCCGGGATGCTCATTACCTAATGTCTGAAAGCGGGTCCGGCCCGACTGAGCCGCCACAAGCGTTCGACACAAAAATCAGCAGCAGCATGGAAACAAGCTGTGACAATGACAAATGGCACGTGTAATGTGTACGCACCGCACCATTTCAAAACCCGTGACAAACACAACGCCCGCAACGAACTCGGCTATCACAATCGTGCGGGGAAGCTCGAACACAATACGCCCCTTCTCGTATCATCATGGGTCGGACGGTCACTGCACGAGCCTTGCCTGACTGATTCAGCGACCACCGCATCGCAAGAGAGCTTTTCAAGGCAGCATGCTACACATCCCTGGCTACTAACAACGCTAATCGAACGCCCAAGACAGTGTGAATTCTGTACACCTCTGCACAGCTGAAAACCACCCCTGTCATCCATGGAATATCCAAATCCCCTCGCCAGTTTACAACCAAGGCGTGTATTCGTTGGCGGTATCTGTCTTTCTCCCGGCACTGGGCCGCTACCAATAACGCAGCGTATGCCCGCTGGGTCCCACAGACCTCTACTGTATGAAGCTGGCCCACATCTGGTAGCAGCAGCAGTTGACAAACTCCTCTGTCAGCCGATGCAGCAGTTGCTGATCGTATCCAGTCGAGGGGGCGGCGGCCGGCGGGGGCACGCCATCCTGCGGGGTGTCACCCGGCGCAGCCTCTCGCGTGACCAGATGGAGCTGCTGTGGACGGGGCACGGGCCGGTTATTGGACTGTGAGTATGGAGGATGAGATACTGACAGCACGGGGTACGGTGTTGTATGGACAATGGGGAACGGCCCGTGGGGGGTTACGGACGGTAGGATAGTGATAGTAGAGTCAGCGCCCAGTAGAGTAAGGACGGATGGGTGACCAGGTGCAAACAGCAGGGAACAGGCGACGAAGAACTTCTAAATAGACTACGATGGGAACGAACGATTAAAGCCATTTATGAACAGGTCACGGAGAGGCGAGTACTCATCGCGGTTCCACAGGGAGAGCGGCGTGTACTCACCACGGTTCGACAGGGGGAGGGACGGGTACTCACCACGGTTCGACAGGGAGCCTCGGCGTCCACACCGAGCACGAACAGGGCGCTGGTCTCGGCCGGCAGGATCACCACCAGGAACCGCTGGCACCCAGACTCAGACTGGTAATATCTGCAGGCGAAAGGTGAGCACGCGTCACATGCGCAGAAAAAGACACACTGGACGCAAATGGTGACACACTGGACGCATGCCATACTCGGTACATTCAATGTTGAGACTTACGAACGAGGCAAAGAAGAGTAGTGCTACGAAGATAATGGAAAGACCCCGGCCTCTGGAGGATTGAACAGGGCAGCGCAAAAGAAAGCAAGGTGGTCAATGCTGGGGAGGGGGCAGATAACAACGTGGAGGCGACGGCGCAGGAGGGTGGCAAATAGATGGGCGGAGAGAACGGCACTGACAGAGAAGACAGAGGACCGTTGGTGATAAAAATAGTGCCGACTGCCGACAACACAGGGAAAGGGCGGGCGTGGCGCAGCATGCATTTCATTTTGGTACCGAGGGATGGTGTACGCAAGTCTCATTTAGAGTAAAGATATTCTTCTCCACACCGTCCGTGACCATATATATCATATACTAACCGGTGGCAGTCGGAGTACTTGTTCATCAGGGTGCGGATGAGGCCGGTGTACCAGGAGGTGGACTGCTGCACCAGCGGCCGCAGTCGGGGGTCCATCTCGTCCAGAGGTCGGCAGCAGACCAGTGTCAGGAGCTCGGCCATCTCGGCGCAGCTCAGGCCGCCGGCAGACTGCAGGGACAAACACAGCTCAGCCGCCGGCCGCCAGACCGCGTGGACATGCATAGAGCTCAGCCCGGCAGACTGCGAACACAGACAGACACACAGATCAGCCCGCCAGACTGCGAGACACAGACACAAACACAGACAGACGCACAGATCAGCCCGCCAGACTGCGAGACACAGACACAAACACGGACACAATATACACAGAACAGCCCGCCAGACTGCGAGGCATAGACACAAACATAGAGCTCAGCCCGCCAGACTGCAAACAAAGACAGACACACAGATCAGCCCGCCAGACTGCGAGACACATACACAAACACAGATCAACCCGCCAGACCGGAGACAAAGACACAAACATAGACAAGCACACAGCTCAGCTAACCTGACAGCGAGACACCGACAAACACAGCTCAGCCCAACAGACAGCAGACTAGACAAACACAGCTCAGCCAACCAGACTGCAAACACAGACAAAAGCACAGTTAAGCACGTCAGACTACGAACACAAACAAACAAACACAGCTCTTCCCATCAGACTGCAAACACAGACACAGCTCAAACCGGCAGATTGCAAACAATGACAAACACACATAGCTCAGCCCGGCCGACTGGAGGCATGACATACAAACACAGATCAGACCATCGCCAGACTGCAGACACAAATACATTCGCACTGTAACAACATAATCGCAGTTAGTGAGCCGATGCACTGACACTAATGCCCAAAAGTTATCCGTCTGGCCGTACTCATCCCTCGGGCAGTCATTCCTCGGACAGTCCCGTGTGAGACACGCGGCGACACGTACCGAGTTGCGACTCCTGTCATCCTCGTCACGTAGTCGCTGCCACAGCGAGTCGCGCCTGGAACAGCGGGGGACGGGTGTTACCACTGGGGCGGCTACAACATGGAGAGCTCATGAACTGCTGACAATCGCTCCGCTTCACAAAGACGGCCGACGAACAGGGAGACCGAAGTCGTCCATGAAACTGATATTTGATGCCCAAGAGTAAGCATCATTTCACTCTTCATTTTCGACCACTGTTCCTCTTGCCTATTATCTTGATTTATCTAGTTTGTTTAGGTTGTCTATGAAACTGATAAATCGATGCTCAGCACTGAGTTCTCACTTCATCTCCTCCCCACAAACCTATAACAAGGTTCTTAAGATCACAGTCGTGGTTACCTTTCCCAAAAGCGAGGTCAATGCCCCAGCGGTGTTTTTGGGAGCAGTTCACAAGCTAGATAGCGACTCCGAAACAAGTTGGCAAATGAATATTCAGTACACCTTGACTCGTGGCACTAGCAAGGACAGCACAGCACATATAGCGATCAGGCAGTGTATCAAGGCGCAATGATCTGTCGCACGACACACATGCAGAAAGGCACGACATCATAGCGACCTAACTACCGTCAAGCCTGCTCGTGTCACATAGCTGTAAGTAGGTGCGCTCACGTGAAGGGCTGACTAAAACTAAGAACCGTGCTGGTATTCTGTGAATAAGAACGTCAAGCCATAGAGTAGCTACTTACATACTTACGTGCTACTACTCAGGGTGACGTACCATACATACGGATTTACTTTGAGCGGGCAAATGGCTGCTCCAGCCTCTCTCTCTCTCTCTCTCTCTCTCTCTCTCTCTCTCTCTCTCTCTCTCTCTCTCTCTCTCTCTCTCTCTCTCTCTCTCTCTCTCTCTCTCTCTCTCTCTCTCTCTCTCTCTCTCTCTCTCTCTCTCTCCTCTCCCTCTCTCTCACTCACTCTCCCTCCCCCTCCCTCTCTCTCTCTCCCTCTCTCTCGTCCATCTCAATATAACTTACGTCTTAATTAACGAAATGGACATAGCAGTAGGTACATGAAACTAAAAACACGCTGAATCATAAAACAGCAAATAGATACCGAGCCTAAAGGGATTGGGCAGGGTAGTCAGCAAGACTGGTGCCTAGGTGCTCAGTGTGCAGGACTACCACAACACTCATGCATTCAGCAGCCACATATACCCAGAGCTGAATGAGAAGGGCAGAAGGCTCAACCATGACGGCAGGTTCGCTGATCAGTCTGTGATCGAGGGCGGGTGGAGGTGGGAGGGGAAGGGCCATACGGCGGTGAAGTGGTCAGGGATAGAGTAAAAGGAAGAGAATCGGGAGACCACGTTCTTTTATGAGCGCTCAGTAAGGAAAAACAGCCTGAGCTTGGTAGCTGGTTGTACCGATGACTAGGTTAATGGTTGCATTGCTGGCTGGTTATCGATGGATATCCTGGGTATGGCCTCGGCAAAATAGTAGCTGCTAATGCCCAAAGACACAACGGTGGTGTGAAAGTGTGATGGACGGACACAGCAGGCGGCGGGAAGGGAGGGAGGTGGGGGGGGGGGGGGTCGCTCGCAGACGCAGCTGATTACCTGGTGAACGCATCCGCTTGGCTGTAACCACCAGCACACGGCGGGAGGTCAGTACTCTGTCAGGGGAAAGGGAGGGGAGGGGCGGACAGCACCCAGCCACCACACACACATACACACGCCCGACAGTCCCAGCGCCGGGCCGCATCCCACCACCGACAGCCGCCCACCAGAGCAGTGCATAGAGCATGAGCCCACACGGACGGACGAGCGGGCACAGCCAGCCGTACCAAAAACATTCAATCACCGTGTCCGCCTGCAGCTGCTGCACTCGTGTGGCCTAAGCGCGTGTCCTGCATCTGTCTGTTGTGTTTGTGTTGCCCCTCATCGTGTACAATTCTCTTGTGCTTTGTATCCAGTCTATGTAGAGTCCGGGTGACCACTTGCGTGTCATTTCTCGTGTACTGTATCCCTCTGTTGTGTCTGCCTGCAGCATCAGAATGCCCCGACAGAATATCTGCAGTAGACATTGGTGCTCGCCGTATTCGTTTGTCTGTGTGTCTGTCTGCCGCCCTAGTGAACCTTGGCGCCCGTTGTATCGTCTGCCTGTCCGTCTGCCGCCCTGACTAGCCTGCAGTGGACCTTGGCGTCTCTTGTGCCTGCCTATCTATGTGCCTGTCCTGCCGCCCCGACATACCTGCAGTGGACCTTGGCGCGCTCGACCACCTCCTCGATGCGGTGGCGGACCCGCTTCACCTCATCCACCAGAGCCGACTGCATGAACTGCTCGTGGGACGAGAAGTAGCCCAGGTAGTGCACCGACTCGGGCCTGCCGAGGTAGGATACAGTCTATATTAGACACTGTCCAGTTTGGCTTGCTTACTAAACCATACGATCATCCGTTCCATTCCTAATAACGAAGAGGCTAATTAAATTGAATTAAATCATACAATATTCATGACGGAGTGAAACGGGCCAGTGAAAGAAATACACACCTCATTGTATTGTCCAAAGTTCTGTAGATATGTGAGGACTTTGATGGGACGACTAGTGACTACACCTTGTCATCCTGTGGGGTTGGAGAACGGGGTCCGAACTCCGAAGTACAGGACTACAACTCACAATTCTGAGGAAGGTATTGTAGAGGACATGGAACGGGGTCTAAAGAAGAGCAGGACCTACCTGAGCGTGCCGTAGGAGCTGAAGAAGCCGCTGCCGGAGCTGCTGGTGGCCATATCATCGCTCTGACTGCTGGCGCCGCTGGTCTCTGTGGTAGGACACAAACACGATAGTCACACACACCCATAGCTAAGATCTTGAGCAGGTAACATCTACAAGTACCAAGAAGAAGAAAGCAACTATCCGGGATCAACAGCTACGGCCTACGACAACAACTAACCGCAGATTGTTTGAAATAGACAAACACTACTCGTTACATACGACTGATCATCGTCACAACTGCTGCAGAGGCCCACAACCAGCGTCAGTCTCGGAAACAAGCACCGAATTCCTAACGCTCCGAATGCCGAATCTGTCGCTGACAGACATACATTACAGTCACCCACGACCAGTCAATCCCAGTCTCAGCTGCATGGGTCCCAGATGTAACGATTGAGGCCAGCGTAAGCCATGTCCATTTCCAATCGTTCCCTCGATGCATGTCGGTGTTAGTCGATCGAATAGGTGATGTCCCGTGCGTGACAGGATATCTACAGATGCGACCAGACTTCCAGTCCAATGCGTGTACAGCCGTCATTCGCTTCGGCGAGTGTATGGACATTGGACGGATCAGCATCTTATCACTAAGGGCTGCTAATGTTAGTCAAGCGGTCGGAGTGCGGAGAGAGAGAATCAGCAGAGAACAGGTGCCGGTGAAGAAGCAAGACGGCCTAGACAGCAGACAGGTTCGTCGCAGCAGAATGCAGACACGTCCGGTAAGTACAGGCAAAATGGACAGCACAGATACAGCTAGCGTAGCCAGTCCGCTGGCGGCGCGGCAACGCTGTCCGCTCGGGAGAGACGTCCATCCAACATGTAGAGTGCACACTGTACACTAGTCAATACCTCGTACAGAGGCACTGCACAATTCTGTACACAGTCTAGCCCAATGATATTGTGCATAATGTACAATTTTCAAGACCGTCTAGTGTACAGAGAACCCAATAAGGAATGGCTCGAAACATACAATGTACAGTAGTGTAGTGTATGTTGTTAATTGCCATTGACAGCATTCCCCGTGAGCAGTCAGCGCAGACAGGAACCAGTGATCTGCATGCGCCGTTTCGTCCGTGTCTCCTGGCACGAGTAACCATCACCGTCATGAGGTCATGCTCCGACCGCGTCATCAGCGTGAGGCCATGCTCCGAATATGTCACCCGTGCCGAGAGGTTCTGTTTCGTGCCAGTGTTTGACGCCCCAGCCGTCAAACGCTCGCGACCATCGTCAGCGAAACTCGAGCAGAGGAGACAGACGGAGATAGAAAGCAGTGAAGTCAGCCTCGCCCGCCGAGAGTCGGGGACCCGTGGAGCGAGGATGGGGAGTAACGGAGAGTCAGGGACTCACCCGACCGATGGGGACGCCGATCCGGAGCAGGAACCCTACCCGCGCCTGTGGGGAGACAGCGTCCGGCACTGGTGACCGGGGGTTAGCACAGGGGATGGGGCGAGCCGCGGCAAACCCAGCTCACACAGACACCAAACCACTAGCTACGACATTGGAGGCGCGACAACACAGCCAGGCTACTACTACTGCCGGGGAGTGATGGCGGCCGTGACATTCGACATCCAAACGATACACAACGTCCAGAATATTGGATTAAAAAGCAGCTCGCATCAAAATGTTAACCCTGCCCCATGCTATCTGAGCTACCAAACCAACAAATAACATCAAGTTTGACACGGGAAACGTTGCTAAGGGTTTGCTTTAAAAAAACCTTTCGCTCTCTGTTACGAGCGGTGAACTTTCAAAACCGTTGTTGATAATTTTTTCTTCAATACGATTCATATTATTTTTGCATTCGTTGCAATAATTAATAAGGATTAAAGTGTTATCCAACAGAAGTGTCATCAAAATTGGCAGCCAATTTTATTCTGCTGCATCGCTGGAATCTGACCAAAGAGAAGAATAGCCGTTTGATCAGCCAACATCGACACATATTAGTCACTGGATGTTACCAACGTTGATACCAAAACCAATGCAGAAACATGCTCATCAAAACAATTTTCACGGCAATTGGCTGGGCAAAATGTCGCTACTGGCCGTTTCGGACGGACAGAGTTTTTGGAGCCCAGCCTGGAACGGAATCCCAACAGCATCCCAGACCATCCACAAATGGGCGCCTCCGACCCACCAAAGGGCGTCCCAGGCTCACCAAAGGGCGTCCCAGACCCACCCAAGGGCGCCCATGATATCCTCACAAGCTGATGACGCCCGTGCACCACCCGAGGGCGTCCGCCGAGTCCCTGAGACCCACCTGAGGGCGCCGCCGAGTCGGAAGTTTCAGTCTGCTGCAGTCCAGGCGCAGTGTCCACTCGCCGGTAGTTCTCAAACACCCGCTCGATGAACATGGTCGGGTAGATCTCCCTGTGAAAGATAAATCATTGATGATAACGGGGATGGATACTACGAGTAATGACAGCAGGTTACCGTAGACGGACACGGTGAACGGTCGCTCACGCACATACTGTTACGTGTACCATCGTATAATAACATACGGTACGTGCTGCCGGTCGTGTTACTGCTGTCAAACAAACAAACACCACTGGCTATCAAGTCCGACAGCCTCGAGAGGAATTGCAGTGGCCAGTACTCCCCCAACACCTATCCGTGCTTCTATCCTCAGGACACTGAAATCCTTCTCCTCCACGCCGCAACCCCCCTCCGGGCTGGACAGGCAACTTTATCTCATGCGGGCTGCTCCCTTGGAGCGGCACCGCTGCTCCTGAGGGAGCGCACCCCGTAGCCGGGTGCAGTGAGTGCCTTGGGGCTGGGTGGCCTGTCCTCTGGACGGGCTCAGCCCCGGCGACTCACTAGGGTGCCTGCCCAGACCAATGTCTCCCCCTAAATCCTATCATCCTTCCGGCTCTGCAATGGTCTTGTCGACCGAAAGGGCCTAACCCAACAAAACAAACAAACAAACAAACTCCCCCAAGTGTCTCTTGAAGTCTGACACACGTTTCCGTAGTCCTAGGGAGGAAGTGGTGCCGTCTCTCACCGTCTGCTGGTCATCAGCACGTAAAACTTGAGCCGGAGCCGGGTGTCTGCGGCCGGATCTGCCAGGTCCCTGGACACCACCAGCGCCAGGTCGTACATCACAGACTGCTTGGGCGACTCGGAGCGGTGCACCTCGCGCTGACTGAGCTGGATCAGTACATACTCGTCCTCCGTCTGTGGATAGTTGAAATGACAGTCACTCTAACAGTCAGAGGAACAGCTGGATCAATGCACGCTAGTCCTGCATCTGTGGAGTTATTATCACAGTCATTGTCGGCTCGTTGTGTGAAAGCAAAATCGATTTCTGTGAGAAGAAAGATTCATAATGACAGTCACAATCTTAATCAGCTGAATCAGGTTGCAAAACTCGTTCTCTGTCCGTTGGCAGATAAATTGACATTCTAGTACAAACTTGTCATTTGCTGGTGAGAGAAGGTTATCATTTAGTCATAGTCTAATAATTATAACAGTCCGTTGGTCCATCCGCCCGTCCTTCCTCCCGTCCGTCTGTCCTTTCGTCCCCTCTGCGCGCTCTCACCGTCTCCTCGCCGCTGTCCTCGAACAGCGGGATCATGCGGAGCACGCGCATCTCGTAGCGTTTCTCGTGTGTCAGCAGGTAGTTGTAGAGCTGGTCGGGCGAGGTGGACGTCTGTTCCTCGATCGTCACTGTACCTGACGACGGACGGAGGCGGAAGACAGCAGTCAGGGGAAGGGTTAGGGAAGCTTAAGATATACTGGCGAAGTGTGCACCGTTCTAGGCCCATATAATTATACCATGTTCTGTGTCGCATTCATAGCTTGAAACTGACAGAGCTATAGTAGAAGCAATAAAACATGCTAGAAACCAACATGTGTAACACTGCCAATAATCTGAAAACTTCGTCTTAACAGCTTAGTGGCTTCATCTCAACGACGGCGTAATTGTCTGAGCCCCTGGTCCAGCTTAATCGTCTGAGAAATAACAAAGAATAGCTACATAACTAAGCGATTGTTTAAACAAAACCCCTCTCAATCCCTCCCTCCCTCACGCATATCGCTATCCTCACCGAGCCGTCCCGTCACCCACCTGTGGCCATGAAGTTTCTCGCGTGCGTCGGCCCCTTGGGGTAGTAGTTGTAGAAATCCTCCAGGAACGAGGTGATGTGCAGACCCTGGCGCAGCATCAGCGGCCGCCCGCTGACGTACTGCTGCATCATGCGCAGGTGGTAGTCGTGCATGTAAGAGTGCAGGTGCGTGTGCGCACGGATGTGGTCGCACTCGACCAGAAAACTCTGCAGCGCCTGGGGAGGGAGTTCGGTCGTCAGCGGGGAGAAGATGAGACGTGGTGGGTTCGGTGAACTGTTGCAAATCGATGAAATACTTAGCTGCAAGAGTGACATGATAATTAGGACTCTAATCCGATAAATCTCGTAAGTCTAGTAAGTCTAAAATCTACACATTTATCGAGGTCAGCAAACAAATTCGTAGCCGTCAGCTCCTCCCTGACAGACGTTCACGCTCCCATGCCACCAATCTCCCGACATATCCCTTTCCCGACACGACTCTGACCTGCGAGTTGACGGGCGGAGCGCGGCCTCGCAGTCGCATCCTCAGTCCCTCCAGCGCGTACAGCTTCACGTAGAAGAAGGGCTCCTCGACGCCGATCTGGAAGAGGAGGTAGCCGCCGCCGCCGATGATGACCCGGTGCAGGTAGGCGCACACGGGCGGATCCTGGGCGTCCGGCCGCCGGCCCTTCAGGCCGTACTGCAGCGGCAGGAAGCGCATCGTCTGCAGGTACTGCAGGTACTCGCCCAACAGCGAGGAGCACAGCGTTTCGTGCCACCGTTCGTCGGCTGCCTGACGCCGCAGTCGCGGTGACGGCCGGCCACCCGAGCGGCAGGAGGTCTCGGAGGGGTGCCGCGCGCGGGGCGGCCGCGGGCGCGCCGCTACCTCCCGCGCCGTGGACAGCGCCTGGTCTCGGGTGACGGCTGTCTGCCAGCGCCAGGAAGGCAGGAAGAGCAGCGGCGAGAAGCAGAAGTGGAGCAGCCGGCCGGAGCCCTTCAGCAGGCGCACGAAGCTCTCCATGGTCGAGTCCTTGTCCAGTGACTCGGGCGTCTGGCACTGGTGATAGAGCTTCTTCTGCTCGTCTGAAGAGATGAGGTGGCACATAAGTGATGTCAGAGAAATAGAGGAAGGCAGTCAGCGGGGGAAGTGGTCACAATCAAAGCGGTCGCCAAACCACCGAGCATGACTGTTCGTTTCATACCAAAGTAGTCGATGAGAGCAGCTCCTTTGCTTATGATGGGCTAACGCCAGAATACTTGCATAAACTGGGTAGGGTAGCGGGTACATAATTATGCTTGTCTCATTAAATGTTACATAGCTGATGTGTGTATGATAATAAAAAAAAACCACCGTAATGCCTGCTGATCAAGCATCGTCAGTCACCGACAGCGGTAAGTTCGGAGTCAGATATCCTACCCCAACCAGAATCCAAAATCCGCCGTGATCTGAATGACGGGGCCACCGCAGTTCACTCTCTAAGCTCACTTTTGACCGACTCACCTCCCTTCCTGTTGGCCTTGAGCACCTCGAACAGCTGCGTTCCGTGCCGCAGCACCGCGTCGGCGGTCGGGCCGGGAGCCATCAGCGGGCCCGGTTTACAGTCGCGCAGCGTCTCGGTGAAGAGCCGGGAGCGGGCGCCGGCGTGGCTCCGGTGGCCCGGCTGCTGGCCCGGCGGCGACGACTGGCGGATCAGGTGCAGAATGTGCGGCATCTGGTTCAGGTATGCGTTTGGCGCCTGTGGGAACGAGAAACACGGGTGGTGTCAGGACAGTCAACGTAGGGAGACAGGCGGCGTTAGTGGGGACCAGAAGGCCAGATTATAAGACTGGAGCACACATAACCAAGTCACAAGCATACATTATAACCTATCTCTCATTGTTCTAGTCTGAGCTACAGACTTCTCTACATGACAGATATCCGTATCTGAACGCACATCCCTGACCACCATCATCAATGAGGTCTTCTCCCACCCCCTTCCGGTCTCGTTTCGTCCCCTGGGGAAAGGGAAGTCCTCACCTCTCCGGCCGCCTGGTCGGGCCGCCTGGTGAACGGCTGATGGTGGAACAGACCCAGCTTCTGCGCCACGATCGAGTGCAGCAGAGAGCAGCGCGCGTTCGTCCACTGACACAGGTCCGAGCACTTGACGTGCAGGTGGTCCCACTTCTCCTTGGGCCAGTTGTACGTGTACAGCTCCACCTAAAAGACAAATGGCATGTGATTCTCACAAAAATCTAATAAGGGATGTCACCCCCAGTGAATTGCATTGTTTTGATGCTACCTAAAAACCCACAGCTTACAAGTCACAATGCAGCCTGCCTCTTTCAACATGTCGAGCATCTGAGTCAGAAAGGAATGGGATAATCGTGGAAGCAAGCCATTTTGAAGGTATAATTGCATAAACAGTACCACCAAGTAATTCACTCTTTACGGGCGATGCACGTTTGTTTTGTTTTGTTGGGTTAGGCCCTTTCTGTCCAATGGGACCATTTCAGAGCCGGGAGGATGATAGGATCTAGGGGGAGACATTGGTCTGGGCAGGCACCCTAGTGAGTCACCGGGGCTGAGCCCGTCCAGAGGACAGGCCACCCAGCCCCAAGGTACTCACTGCACCCGGCTACGGGGTGCGCTCCCTCGGGAGCAGCGGTGTCGCTCCATGGGAGCAGCCCGCATGAGATAAAGTTGCCTGTCCAGCCCGGAGGGCGGTTGCGGCGTGGAGTGGAAGGATTTTAGTATCCTGAGGATAGATGAGCACGGAACGGTCGAGCGATGCACGTCGGTTGGTGCTCGGATGAATACTCCAACGCCACCCATTCAGTAGATCTACAGGGGGCCGGTGAAAACAGTTTGTCAGAAGTGGGATTCGAACCCACGCCTGGAGAACCAGACTGCGACCTGAACGCAGCGCCTTAGACCGCTCGGCCATCCTGACATAACACTCACACCGCGCAAACGCACAAGTGGCCACTCTTCACCCCCTCACCTGGTTTCCGCTGACCCGCGCCCAGGCCAGCTTCTGTTTGGCCAGTGGGATGGAGGTGGTGAGACAGCCGGGCGAGGCGGTCAGGTCGCCCGGGCTGCGGAACGAGTGGCTGCCCGTGGAGGGACCCGGGGAGGGGGGCACCGAGGAGCACTGCGTCGACTCGGCCGGCGTCGGGGTGCCCAGCTGACCGCTGAAACTCAGCCGGTGCGCCGCCATCCGCACGTCTGAAACATAGTGGGGCCGGGCTGACAAAACGGCAAAGCACGACGAGACACAGGGAAAGGCCGGGCAGAGCTTTGTCATTATGGCAAGGGTTATCTCCCCTGCCCCCCCCCCCCCCTCCATAGCACTCGCCGTGTAAATCACAACCTCCCCCGGTCCCACACTTCCTCACCCCAGCCAGCAATTCGCTTGGGCTGAACTGTGGCAAGCGTCGGGCAGCTTGGGCTTAGCTTGGGTTTGCCCACTTTGATCAAAACCAATGTATTTTTTACTAGGGCTGAGCTGGGGCATGCCGCAGCTATGCCCACGTGCGGATAGCAGTAGCTCAGCCCGACATCTGCCCGCGCATCCAAAACAGGCTTAACTTGGGCGGAGCGCGGGCTGATCAAGCTGGCTGTGTCCTTCGGCTAACTGGAGTAAAGCCGGAGCTTAGCCATACTTGTTCGGCTGTTCGCGCATGCGCAGTTCTGCGCCAATCATGTGCAGTGTTTGTGACAGTCTGTGCGCTGTGCGACGAAACGACACACCGGTGTTGGGGCATTTGGTGGTTGATGTTTGGGCGCGTGTGACAGCGCGAAGAAGGGATAGTGCTCACTGCTCTTATCAAGTGGACTGGCATGGAGTTTTACGGTAGGTAAGTCATAAGTGTATTGAATGGTGCGCTTGATCGTATGTAAACGTCATGATTTTGACTGAGTTTGACGCCATCAAACATGAAGCTGAATAGCTGTTCAGCCTGGCGACTTATACCCTCGCTCAGAAAAGCTGCATTCCGTGCCTTTATATCTTTGTGAAATACCAGCACTTCTGACCCAGGAAAATGAAATACAAAACACAAATATTTATCTACTTATCACCGAGCACGCTCATTCTCTGTCCGCATTTAAAATCAAATGAACATTTTATACGGATCAATGCGAAGTGTTTTTACAGTATTAATGCATCAATAAGTTATTTTTCAAGCAAACATGCAATGTAAATTAAACCAATTAATCTCTTTTTCAGGTACGTACCATTAGAGCAAATGGTTCCAAAAAATGGAATAGTTATACAAACCAGGACCGGGTGGACGCCGCAGTTGCCCTCGCCAAGTGGTTTAGCGGAAACTGCCTGCTTATAATTAAGTAGGTATACCTACATATACGGAAACTGCGCCGAAAGCTGGCCGACCACCTACTGCAGATGTGTGTGTGTGGAGGAGCCAGACGCCTCCAAAGCTCCCATTCACCAGAGTGAAGTTCCTTATAAACGATTGTTTGCTTATTGCTTTATGTCTTATGAGCGATTACTTGCTGTCCTTACTTTATGCTTTCAGTTGAGTGTTTAACCAAGTATTATGAACGGGGAGGGAGGCTAGCGGGCCTTGTGATTGTTTTATAGTTTTGATGGCGTTTTTTCATGACTCATGCCATATTACTGCTGCAGTTTGCAGTCCACTGTTTCATGTATTTGTGTTTCATTTGACGTGTCTGTAGTCGTTTGAAATATATATTCAATCAAAGTCAACCACTACTTTCCTTTTGTAATGCTCGAGCCTCGATGACCGGTTAACAGAGCATATGAGTGACCGTAACACTTTTAAATATGCATTGAAACCGCACAACCTGCTGAAAGTGCATTGGCTGCTCCTTGCTACTTGATCCAGTGTGAAGCAAAAGCAAGATGAAGTCAAGTCGAGACTTGAGAAAACAGGAGCCATCACTCGAGCCGAACCCGAGCAAAGCCACAGCAGTTTGCAATGTATAAACCCCATTCATTTCTATGGCTTAAGTCGGGATAGACAGGGCACACAGAGTGGGCTTGCCGGAGTTCAGCCCGCTCGGGCCCAGAGTAATCTCCATTATATAAATGGATTCACTGCTCGGGCTTAAATCGGGCTATCGCCAATCGTCGCTCAACTAGGGCTAAACTACGGCTGTCCGGAGCTCGCAGAGCGGGCATACCTCCGGCAGAGCATGGGCTTTAGTCGGCGTATTTGTGTCATACGCCGACTTTAGCCCAAGCGCTAGCCGACTTTAGCCCGACTAAAAATCTCGGGCAATCCGCACTTGAGCCTGCTTGGGCCCGGATCAAAATTGCTGGCTGGGACATTCGCCCTGTGTAACCCACGGCCCGCAGTCCCTTCCGCAACTCAGAGCGGGAACGCACTCCCTGTCCTCCCGTGTAGCTCCCATCCCTCCCTGTGATACTCACAGTCCTCCCACGGTGACCATGTCCAACCAGCAGCAGTCCCCGTGTAACACAGCCTCCCTGTATCCCTCACAGTCCCCTGTTATACTCACACTCCTCCCTGTGGCCATGTCCCACCAACAGCAGTCCCTCGCGGTCCCCCTGTATCCCTCATAGTCCCCTGATATACTCACAGTCCCTGTGAGACTCACAAGTCACAGTCCTCACTGTGGCCATGTCCCACCAGCAGCAGTCCCTCACAGTCCCCCTGTGATACTCACAGTCCCCCTGTGATACTCACAGTCCTCCCTGTGGCCATGTCCGACCAGCAGCAGTCCCTCGCAGTCCCTGTGATACTCACAGTCCCCCCTGTGATACTCACAGTCCCACCTGTGATACTCACAGTCCTCCCTGTGGCCATGTCCGACCAGCAGCAGTCCCTCGCAGTCGTGACTGTCCAGGTCGGCACTGTCACACAGCACGTGACCTCCGTCCACGGCTCGGCATATGTGGCAGCTCAGAGACGGACACTCTTCCTGAATGAGTCGCATCAGACCGGACACGAACGCGCCAACGGTGTACCTGAAAGGGGACGATCGATATAGTGACGAACAGTTACCTGGCAGAGTTGCAAAACGATCAGTACATCCAGTGTATCTGGCTGAAGCAAAAAACTATCAATACAGTGACTAACGAACCTCAGTGTACCTGAAAGCCCAAAAAGGGAGCAGAACATATCGGCATAGCGATGAACTCATCCGGAGCATGCCTTACCGGGGCGACTAACATGTTGGCATGCTGGCGGACGCCGCCTGCCAGCCGCAGCCGCGGCCGAACACAACCGGTTCAGAAGGATGGGGGCAGGGCATACGGCCAGTGTCATCTACCCACGCGATGATTGAAAGAGAGCTACCAGGGGAGTTGCAAGAAACGACACGTCACACCTGTGCCAGGAGTTGGAAGCGGACAGGCCGGGCGAGAGGACAAATTTGTTTGTGGTTCGTTTGAGGCGCGTAACTATTGAAGAAGACCGTATGCTATTTGAGGATTGTGATATCTCACCTGTTGCTGAGTGCGACCGAGTGCCCTTTGAAGCTCGCTCTCTCACCTGTTGCTGAGTACGACCGAGTGCCGTTTGAAGCTCGCTCTCTCACCTGTTGCTGAGTACGACCGTGTGCCGTTTGAGGTTGGGCACGCTGAGCTCACTGCCGAACTGCAGCCACTGCCTCAGCATGTCCCCGTACATGGGTCGCAGAGGTACCGGCTCCCCGGAGGCGGGGCGGCGAGGCGTTGACTGACCCGACGAGCAGGCCGCCGGCGGGTCCTGGTCAGTGGTTGCAAGTCAGTGGTCGGACATACGTAAGTGGGCAATGAGCAGTATGTATCGTTCTGTTAGCATGGCGAATAGTGGGCTACAGGAGAGTCAATTTATCGACACGGGGCGCAAAAGCAAACTGTTAATTGGGGGAGAGCCTACTGGGTGACCAGTTTGCTGTCGCTTTATGACGTTTCCTGCTGAAAAAGTAACGACAGAAGCTGAAGAAAATGGTTATTTGTTTCCGAGCATATGCAATTACGCGCACGTAAATAATGTGACAACAGCGTAAGATTCGTATCATGCAATGGTCAATAGCGACGATCCAACTCAACTAGCAAAAAGAAATTAGGCAAGACGGATCCATAAAGATACTCGGTTGCATGGCGGTGCCCGAAAATGACAACTACAAACGGTCGAGCGAGGTATAAATATAAGTTCTTTTAAGAAACACAACAGCGCAAGCCCGCAATTGGTGTGAGGCAGTGAGCAATTCACACAGCGCAGCCCCTCCCAGCACGCGCTCAAGCACGAAAATAAGAGCGTAAACCCCAGCTATAACAGCTCCCTTGCCATAGGGAACGCATATGAGAGAAGGACCATCATGGTAATGCAATGAAGCTGGTATGAAAAGTGAAAACAGCTGATAAGCAAGGCACCGTTCAAATCTTTGTGGGCCCATTTCCGCGGAGTGCAGTTGCACTGGGTTATCGTTAGCCTAAAGAACATAATAAGGTATGAACGGTGTCGAAAGCCAACTGTAAGTGCGGGTGGAATTGAGCTACCAGCAACAGCTAGCATTGAATGAACAGAGTATTACTCACGAAAGCCCAGGACTGCAGAAAAATGAAGAGCAGTCGATAACATAAACATCAATAGCTTTTCAGAATGGACAGCATGAGACTTTGAGCTAATCCGCAAGGCAAAGGGAAGAGAGGATCTGGAGCGCAATCGTGCATGAACAAAGAATATCGGGAATAATATCAGATTGTTATCATTCCACCCATCACGCTCGGGAAGTAGCAAAGGCAGGACTGCTTTACCAATTTCTTTCGACGTGCAGGGATTACGGGCGAGCGCCGACCCTAATTCCCGTGAATTATGTCTCAAGACAGTTTCTCAGACGAGATGTTGAACCCTAAACCGTATCTCAAAATAACTGCAACAGACAACACCGCAGCCAAGTAGGTAGTTACATAATACATACATACACAATACACATGTGCTGTATTGCATGTTCATACAGATACGATGCGACAATCCCTACACCTCCCGTGCAGGCAATGAAGCGGCACATCCAAAGCAGCCCCTGTGACGGTGACCCTGTTATGTACGGTGGAGATCCCTGGAAACTAAGGTCGACTATTCAGCGGGGCACCCGCTATGTGTCAGCGCCCAGCGTGTCAGCGTGTCAGCGGACGGCGGCCGAGCGTGTCAGCGTGTGTCAGTGTCAGCGTGTCAGGCACGGTGTGAGCCGCGTGCCGCGCCGGTCCCCGCCCGGGTAGTTACCGGGAACGGCGGCTCGCTACTGTCCTGTGGAGCGGAGCTGGCTAAATGCCGCAGCTGCAGCGCAAACACCTGCTGACCAAACACCGACCGGCCTGACTGTCGACTGTGCGCAACGTTAGCCGACACTCCCCCACGACAGTGAACTAGTCCCTGGGAGTTCAGCGGTACTACATACAGGGTGCATGGCCAATGCTACAGCAAAACTACGAAAGGCGTCCAACAGAGTGCTAATTCACTGCTAAATAGGGACGGTAGTAGTAAAAGTTATTTGCACTTTCAAATTTGCAAGGCACTTCGAAAATTTCGTCTGGCAAACGTTAGAAAGAACGGCTTAAAAGTGCCTGAATCATTTGTTTGTTTATTGGCGCTTTAGGACGCGTCGACTGCAAAAAGTGCCTCGATCACTTCGCACGTATTAATGCACGTATCACTGCAAATGCAATGCTGAAAAAAAACTCTCTGAAAAGTCGCGACTAAAATGTTCTCGGATGCATTGGAGTTATAATATCAAGTGCATCAAAGTACATCAAAGTACATCAAAGAGCTACGCTTCAAATCCGTCCGTCCTCACGTTTGCCAGACTATAAACGTTATTCAAAACCGAATTACCAAACACTAGTGAGTAGTGCAAGAAACTGAGTATTTGGTTAAAATATGTTAGAGAAACTAAGCGATCATCTTAACGAGTGAAACAAGCAATTCATCGGTGATGTAAAATCGAAAAGTGCAACAGAAACAATATTAGGTGGGCCCGCTAGCTAGAAACACACCATGGACAGGGAGCAAACTAAACTGCAGCGTGCAGCCTGCACTACAGCCTGATGCAGCTCGAGACTGGGGACGTGCGGTCGGCCGCTCAGGTCGGGTCACTGACCTGTAGCTGGGTCAGAGGTGACGAGATGCGGCGGTCCAGGAACCGAGCCATGGCCGAGGGAGGAGGGTCCTCCAGCGGGCGGCCGGCTGCGGCAGACGCGACACAGGTCAGGTCAGGTCGGGTCAGGTCAGACAAACATTACCAGCAAAAACTCGTCAAAAATCCGTTAGGCTCCATAAGAAGACGAGGCTGGATTCGTATATTTGTTATTAACCCGAGATCAAACATTAAATGTCGAACAGCATTGTCGAGACAAATCGAGTAAAACAGGCGACAATATTATCAATGTCCGCCACCAAATTAATGTCAGCCAATTCGGTTTAGTTATCATTATTGGTTGTAGTGTTATGTGTTATTGGGTTGAAAGTCAGCAAGATCCGGTTTCATGATAGGGTTAATAGTGTTATTCGTTGCGTTACGATCGCCATTGTTATGAACCCAAGTGCTCGCGGTTTGGTAGCGCTGAGATTCATCATAGTCATACGTTCGACTGATTTTAGAGACAATAGGCGGTGCTCTTGAAGTTGATACAGCGTTCTGTGTACAGTCAGTCAGAGTCTTGAAAGTAACGTGCATGGTGCGGTTGGTCCATCAAGCCCAACCGGGGAAGGGCTGCTAAATTTGAGAGTCACTGAACCAATCGATATCTTCATCCATCCCCAACGTCTTCCTCAGTTGGGCTTGATGGATCCACCGTACCTATGCGCGGTACTTTCAAGACTAACTGTACTGTGAATACTAAAATATACCAAGACAACGTCTTTTTGTTTTACGGGGCAGCCAACAATATCGGCTTTTACAGAGACCTGACTGTTCCAAACTGAAATATAAACTAATTCTATCTATCGACAGACAAGGACAGATGACCAGAGACAGACGGGCATACACACAGAGACACACACATACATACAGATAATCGTCCAGCAGACAGACAATAGACGGACGCACGGACGGACGGAGCGCAGCCGCTCAAGCCGGGCAGCGATGAGCTCAATAAGACCCGCAGATAAGCGCATATCAGCGCCCAGCCTTGTGAGATCCGCGGGTGAGGCGCAGCGTAATGCGTATTCCTGGCTGAGCGCGACACGACCAGCAGTTGACGGGGTTCCATTATTGGTTTCGGTTACAAAAACTAGCTACGCCATGAGCAGCACTCGTCGCATGGACTCATGGTTTGCATCAGTCTATACAACGCACGATCAAACTAACTGAAAAACGGAGTCGCCCACCGCGACAGCCAGAGAGACAGACGGCAAGGCAGGACGACACTGAGAGCAGAGCAGTCTATTGCTGGGCTCAGCTCAAAACACATCCCGTTCCGTCGTTTCCATCCTCAGGACACAGAAATCCTTCTCTTCCACGTCGCAACCCCAACTCCGGGCTGGACAGGCACCTTTATCTCATGCGGGCTGCTCCCTTGGAGCGGCACCGCTGCTCCCAAGGGAGCACCGGCTAACCCGTAGCCGGGTGCAGAGGGTGCCGGGGGGGGGGGGGGGGGGTCGGCCTATCCATTCGGACGGGCTCAGCCCCGGTGACTCTTGGGTGCCTGTCCGGACCAATGTCTTCCCCTAATTCCTATCTTCCTCCCGGCTCTGAAATGGTCTTGTCAGACCGAAAGGGCCTAAACCAACAAAACAAATAAACAAACAAACACATAAGCTCAAACCACAGCGGAAACGGACCGATCGACACAGCCGACAGCGCACACAGACAACACTACAGCTCACAGCCAGGCTCACAGCAGCAGCGGTACGACCACACAGGCGACGGGCAACAACCAGCCAGCCAGTAACTCAGCACTAACACAAATAACATCTAAAACGCTGCATTGCAAAGTACCTACATCGTACATTGGTACATTGCAAACGCTATAAAAAAAAACAGCAGCTAAAACATTGTATTGCAAACTTAAACCCCTTCCCAGAAACTGGCAGCGAAATATGACAACGAAAATATCCGCCGTGTGCCTATTTTTCCGATGAATGTTTCCCAACAGCCGTACCTTCACCTAAATTTCAGCCGCTACCCAGACGGTGTGACTCTTGCTCACTAGTCACTACACATTACACTGTCAATCCTATCCACTAAAAACTACCCACTAACAAACGCAGCACCACCAAGATCAATTCCACCAACTTCTAAAGTAGTCAGTCTTAACCATTACACAATCAGCCCTACACACTGCCCAGACAGTCGGTGTGCGTGCGCCAGGCATCGCCGCAGGCTTCAGGTTAGCAGGCAGCACATGCAGACACCACGAGCAGCCCGTGAGGCTCAGCCCGTGAGGCTCAGCTCATGAGATCAGCCCACCAGTTGCAGTGCCGGTCGCAGCCACGCGGAGTTAGCTTAGCCAGACAGATGGATGGACGGACGGCATGCGAACATGCACCTGAGTTACCGAACGGTTGAAGTGTCATGCGGGCCGCCACTTACTCTCCAGTGCCGGCGAAGTGAGTACGATGGACGGGGTCTGGTCGCCACCACTACCGGAGGCAGCCGCGCGGCTCGACGCCGGAGACTCGAACAGCGAGAATGAGCGCAGTGCAGGTGGTGGCGGCGCACCCACTGTCGTCACGTAACGTCACGAATGGTACACACAGAGCGTGTGGCGTGACGGTGTGTTGTGTGGGAAGGGGGACTGTGATACCGCACACGGCCGGCCAAATACACACGGTGCAAAAGTGTTCGTTAGTTGGTAATACATACAAGTGAAAGGAGGTGTGTAGGGAGGTTGTCAAGCCATCGGAACGTAAAATATGGAAGGTAAACAAACGTTCCAAGTAACCGTCATCATTCTGAATAATGAGTGAATGCAAACAAAGGCCCAGCTGTAGAGTTGTGCACACTAGAGCAGCAGCTGCAAAGACAAACTAATACTGTAAGTGATAACAAAGTGAGCCTCAAATGCCAGCACATCAAAGCCAACCAAGTCATTCACAGCTCAGGAAGCAGCGCACTAACCCAACACGCATCTGAGACTGCGAAACCCCACACGACCCGCTGTGAAAATGCACGTCAGTCACCTACCCCACACAAAATTAATCCCAGCACACGTCACAACATACACATTCCACACAAATCCCTTATCTTCCCAGCGTAACTGCCATCCCAGCGCAGCCCGCGCGGTACTCCGCATTTCCCATCGGCCCTGCCGCCCGTCGGCTGCTCCGGCGTCCCGCGGTTGTGGCCCTAGGCAGCCCCGGCGTGCCACTGACCTCTGAGCGCACCGGAGAGGTCGCGCGCCGGTCCCGGTCCGGCGCCCTCCAGCGGCGAGTGCGGCAGTACGTGCCACACCATGCAGCGGTCCCACAGGGCGTACCGGATGGCCGACGGCAGCCGCGGCTCCAGCCACGACAGGTTGGCGCGCCCCTTCTCCCAGATGTTGAACCGCAACAGCACGGCAGAAGCGCCTGTCGCACGGGTCAGGATCAACACCGAGGCCCAATACAGCACACAATGATCATTGATTAGCGACTACCTCACGACATACACAATCAGACATACCTATCTCCGATACAATATTCCGTATCGCCCTGATGCCTAGACCCGGTCTTTCGCCTGACAAAGCTTTTACTGTATATTTTCAAAAACACACCAAGCCCTTAGCCCTTCCGGCGGCGTCCGCAGCTCCCCTGGCAGTGCTGCGGCGCCCGGCTCGTCCCACAGCCGTGTAGAGCCAGCCACGTACCGTCTACCTCCGGGTCGTACAGCCGAGTGGTGGTGAGCGCCTCGAACCGACTGGGGCTCCAGTGGTGCTGATCGTCGTCCGAGGGAGGCGCCGCCGGCGCGCCGGCCGGTCGAACCGCCGAGAGCGAGACGCACGCCATGCCGCGGCCACCGTGCTTCTCAGACGGCACGTACAGGAACATTTCAGACTCCTCGCTGCTGCCCCAGTCCTGTGAATAGAAGTGATAGAGACACAGTCAGAGAGACAAACAGAACATTTCAGGCTTCTCGCTGCTTCCAGAGTCCTGAGAACACAGAAATACGTATTAGACAGACAGGAACATAAACCCGTACAGTAACATCTCGAACTCCTCTCGGCCGCCCCAGTCCTGTGGAGAGATACAGTCAGATAGACGAACGGGAACACGGAGCAATTCATAATTCAACCGTAATTCTTACAATGCCACTTGAAAAAAAAACTCATACCAATAAATATAACACACAGCAAACAATTATCAGCAGCAGAGGGAGGCTGGGTCCACCACTCCCCGTCCTTTCGGCGTCGACGGCGCACTCACCCGGAACTGGTTCTCCTCCCTGGTGTCAGTGTACTTGGGCTGGTGCAGCATCTGCAGCAGGTTGTTCCTCAGGTAGCCGACCACCGACGACAGGTGACCGCTGGCAGACGGCGGCAGGGTGAACTGGCGACACAGGGCAAAATAGCGTTACACGAGGAGCGTCGGCAGGCAGCACACCTCAGGGTAGGAGCAAGGTCAATCCAGCGGATCCGGTATTAGCCTTCAGCACCGTTTAAGTGAAAGCACGTCTCTGAACGCAATCGCTAGTCACAAGAATTCTGTTACGGCTGGTAGCGTTACTTGATAGTGATTTCAAGGGGCATCATTCCTGAAACTGCCCTCGAGACAATCCTTCCCGTTATCCTCATTCGATCGTCTGAGTATGTCACCTGACCTTGAGGCAGTGATCGGGCGGCGTGTTGGGCGGCTGGATAAAGTGCACGTCCTCCGGCGCCAGCTTGGTCTGCGGGTTCCTCAGCAGCGCCTTGGTGAAGAGCTCCAGGAGCCGCTCGTCCAGCCGGCTGTGCAGCAGGCGCACCAGGTCCTCCTTGATGCACGGACCTGCCGCAGACGACGCCGATCCATGACGGCAGGTTAGCTCACAAACGAACAAGCAGTAAGCAAGTACATCCCGTATACATACTGACCCGGTACGGGACAGTAACAGTGAACCAATTGAGTTCCGATTGATGAGGTCAACTTCATCCCCACAGCACATGTTCAGTCCGGTGACCCCGTGAAATAGGCACGTACCATCGGACATCGACTGTGTGCTGCCCTGAGAAGCCCCCTTACGAGACCCTCCCCAAAGATCCCCTCCCCTCCCCCTCCAGACACCGGGCTTACCTGGCTCCGTGATGCCATGCACCAGCAGCAGAACTCCTTCCTCCGAGTCGCTTCGGTAGCTGGCGTCACGTTCACCGACAGAGGTACACCGGCCACGCGGCGGCTGAGGGCGGGGAGAATCGTCGGTGTCAGAGGGTGTTGACTGTCAATGGGTGTCAGAGTATCGATGGTGTTATTGGAACTAGTGGCAGCATAGTGCGAGTCAGAAATCGGGTAGGGGGATTAAAAAACTGGACATCGGTGTAAAGTGTGTGGCAGGTTCGCTGTTTAAAACATCCACACTGAAATCTGTCACTGAAAAAGTGCACACAGCCCCATCCTGCCCCTCTCCAGGCATCCTATGTCACGCAGTCACACGCGGTAGCTCCACGGGCAACTGGACTGAGCGGCGCGCCTACCTCGTCCTTGGTGAGGCTGGTGATGCTGGTCCGGGCCGGCTGCGTGCCCAGCCGCTCGTCCAGGGAGACGGCCGACGCACTGTCCCCGGACGGATGGCCACCGGAGCCACTGCACTCCCTCAGTCTGACGGTAGCACGTGGTCGGTCAGTGACAACACACAGCGGTGCCAGGACAAGTGGTCTCCGGAGCCACTGCACTCCCTCAGTCTGACGGCAACACGCGGTCGGTCAGTGCCGACTCACAACGGAGCCAGGTTCAAGGTACCACACTCAACATCGGCCAAAAGGCCGATGTTTACTCAGAGAGAATCGTGAGTGTAGCGGGAGCTCATTATCCTAGTTATTTCCGACTGTCTTATTGCCAACGCCCTCTGACAAGCCCCTATCATCCCTTACAAACTGCAAAGGAGTTCAACACCACCTCAGCCCAGCCTGCGAGCTATCCTGACCGCGACCCCCGCACCCACCTCAGGTAGAAGACGTCACCAAGCTTGGGGTCCTTGAAGACGAACATGTTGAGCCGGTTGCTGACGGCGAACGTTTCGAGCGCCTGTCGCAGGTAGGCCAGGCCGGGCGTGGCTCCGTGCGCTGCGCCGCGCAGCCGCGGGTGCAGCGCGAACCGCGCCTGCCACCTGACGTCGCAGCTGAAGTGGCCCGGCTGGTACCTGACGTTGGCCTCCTGGTGGTGCAGGTTGTGCTCTGCCGACGGATGGAATGATTGTCGCGTCAGATCTCCATTCTCCACATTTAGGGTACGGAGCTGACTGTAGTAGATGGTTGAAGGAAAGTTAACAGCTGTGTTCGAGTTTGGAATAGCTCATATAACTACAATCAAATCATTCATCAGGAATAAACCGTTGAGTAAAAACCAAAATTTATTTTTACAACTCAAAATATTCCAACCGCGTAAGCCTGAGGCGGGTCTACCGACCGGCGGAGTAGCCCCCACCCCACCTCTACCCCCGTGCCCGTCTGGTAACCCCTCCACCCCGCCACGTACCGTCGGGTGACAGGGCGTCCGGTCGAATGTAGCCGCCGGCCGACAGCGCATACACGCCGTCCGTCTGCTCTGCGCCGGCCCGGCGGCGAGCCGAGATGTCGGCGCTCGACTCAGGCTCCAGGAGACTGTCGCAGTAGCGCGTGCGCTCAAGCTGCTGCAGCAGCAGCATCTGGTTCACCCGCCGACAGATGGCGTTGATACGTGCAATCACCTGATCGTGCACGGCCTTGCGCTCACAGATGTCCTCCTGGCTGTAGCGGCAGTGGAAGAAGGTGTCGACCGCGTCCTCGGCGACGCGCAGGATCAGCCAGAAGGCCGGCAGCAGGATGTGCTCGCCGCGCTCCGTGTCCGTGCCGACGTCCTGCTCCGAGTCAGAGCCGTCACCCTCGTACCCCTCCTGGTGCACGGCCTCGTCCGGCCGGCAGGTCTTGTCGCCGGCCGCAGCTCCCTCCTCGGCGCTCGGGAAGCCGACCTGTTCGGAGCGCACCTCGGCGGCCGAGCGGCAGCGGCGGGTCTCCAGCGGCCCGCCGGCGGCCGGCTCGCAGACCTGGCTGCGCGGTCGGCGCCGGGGCTGCACGAACAGCGCCGCCACCTCGCGGTCCTCGCCGCAGAGCGCCGCCTCCGGTCGGTGCGACATGGAGCGGCGCAGGCGGCGCGGCGCCGGCCGCCGCTGGTGGTTCTCGGGCGTGCACTCGTCGGCGTCTGAGACGGAGCCGGAGCTGGCCGCGTACTGGCACAGATCGACGCTGGTGGAGCGCGCCAGCATTGTCTGTGCCATCAGGGCGTCCGGCGTGCGCGGCCGCAGACCCGCCGAGTCGAGCGGCGGCGAGAAGCGCGCCGGCGGCAGCAGCGAGCCCAGGGGCGGCACCAGATTCCACGTCAGCGGCTGCGTGGTGGACGACTCGTGCACCAGATAGTAGAGGTTGTCCAGCTGTGCCAGCTTGTAGTCGGGAACCTGCAAGTGCCGGAACTCTTGCATGAACAAATCCATGCTCTTGTCCGGCCCGAACACAAAGTACAGCGGGATCGGTTTGTGTACACAGCCGCGGCGGGAGCGGGAGCTCTGGATCTGGCCGGCCGAGCGCCGCACGTGGTCTGCCACTGTGGTGAGCACAGCGAGCTGCGGCGGGAAGCTGTCCAGCAGCAGGGCAGCAATCTCGTCCGTCAGCAGCCACTGCACCTCAGCCTTGGTCACGGTCACCGCTTGCAGCTGGAACTCGCTCAGGTGGCCCAGCTGCGCGCCCAGCTGGCTGGCGTTGAAGCTGTCGTGCTCGCTGGCGTCGTCACTGCCGCAGGCACCCAGCTCGACCACCTCCGACGAGCCAAGTCCGTCCGAACAGAACGAGGTCGCTCGCACCTGGTGCTTGGTGTGCTCCGAGATCCGCGCGTCCACCTGGTAGGGCAGCGTCAGACACAACATGTCCAGCGTCACCTGGACAGAGTCGAGCGGCAGCTCGGCCTCCGTCATCTCTCCGGCCAGCTCGCCGATACAGGTGGGCAGATCGAGGATGTGACGCGTGTACGTGTTAGTACCCGTTCGCGTGGTGCAGGTCAGTTGCAGGAACAGCGGCGGCATGTTCTCCTCCTCCCGTTCGTCACCGACTTCCACAGCTCGGTCGTCAAGATCTCCCACCGACTCAGAGTCGACGTTAGACAACAGAGACGTCTTTGTAACCACGCTGAAAATCTCCTCCGGATGACGATGCACGTCTCGCCACACATCCGACGCGTCGATGTCGTTGAGCTGGACGGTGCCGGTGTCATTATCCGCCGAGGGCACTCTCTCTGGGTAGTCGTCAGGTAGCGTGCTATCATCATCCAGCCCCGTCCGCAACCCGGGCGGCAGGTAGAAAAGCACATGCGGGCTGGAAGGCACCGTGCCGAAGTTGGCCCGCAGCAGACGGGCGAACTTGGCGCGCACCTCAGCGTGCACTTTCTGCAGTCGGCCGCACGGCTGGTGGCTGGCCAGCAGGGACAGCGGCAGGTGCGGCTCGCAGTCCGAGGCAGCCACGGAAGCGCAGTCGGCCGGCCGGTGGCGCTGCTGCTCCGCCGAGCGCATCGTGAAGTCGCGGATGTGGCCGCAGATCGTCTGTAGACGAGAGGAGAGGGTTCAGCCAAAGAGGATTGACAGATTCATGACAGGGCTCGCCAGGAGGATAGGGTAGCCACACAGACAGGTTGTCACGCAAATTAATGAATCCATAAGACCTGCGTACGTGTAGACTGATGATTGACATAGTACATCATCGAAGATGGCACGCATTGCCTAATGCCTATGCCGGCGTCCGACGTCCGAAAGCAGATTAAAACAAATTAAAGCAGATTAAAACCAAACACTCGGCGTTACATAAAACAACATGCATTGTCTACAATGTAGTCACCGCTCACCATCATCGCCCAGCCACTCGCCCTACCTTGAGGAAGTCGGTGATGTCGACCTCGAGGGGCTGTTCGTCACACAGGTCTATGGCCCACTGCACGTCCAGAGGGTGTACGCTGCGGCAGGCCTGCAGTGAGCGGAACACGCCGACCACAAAGGAGCGCGTATGCGCCAGCTGCAGCACGTTGCAGTGCTCGGCCAGGTGCGGCGGGTCCTCGGCCGGCTCGTCCGTGCCGCGGCCTGACCAGCCCGGAGACGGAGGCGCCTCCGACAGGGAGAAGCGCGCGTCTCGGTACAGGTCCGGCGGCCGGCCGGGCCGCACACGGTAGCCGAGCTGCTGCGTCAGTGAGCGCAGAGAACAGTCGTACACGTACACGGGCAGGGAGAGTGAGCCGAGCAACGCCGGTCGGCGCCGGCTGGGGCGGCCGCCGGCGCGCCGCCGCTGGCCCGCATCGCTGTTGGGGAAGGACCGGGACCGGTGCGGGCACTGGGCCGGGTCTGACTCGCAGTGCTGCAGTTTGGAGGGAGAAGACGGGTGACGGGAGCGGCGGCGCGGCGGTCGCGGCGCACCCTCCTCGCTCTCGGTCTCCGCCGCCACCAGTGTCACCGTCTTCTTGGCGGCAGCGCCGGCCGAGCAGGCGCGACTGCGCGCGGCCGGCTGCGGCGGCGCGCGCGGGCGGGCTCGACGTGCCGCAGCCGGCCAGCCGCGTACTCAGGGACGCGGAGCGCGGCGGCACAGACACCGAGCCGGAGCCCACTGTGTCGGCCAGACTGTCGGCGCGACTGTCGGCGTCAAACAGCGCGCGCAGGCTCTCCTCGGCGTCCTCCGGCACGTACTGACAGCCGTCGGAGCCCGCCGACGCCATCAGCAGCTTCAGGTCGTCGAAACTCTCCGGCAGCAGCGTGGTCATGACGTGGGTCGGGCTGATGGCCTTGACGTAGCAGCGCCAGCGGGCCACCCTGCCGCCGGCGTCTGCGGCAGAAAGATGGCGTGTTGGGTTAGCTGTGGCCGAGGCACATCGCCGCACTAACATCCTGTATAAGTAGCAATAAAGCTGAACCTTACCATAATTCATTCAGTGGGCGCGATTACCAGATGATATAGAAACACGCCGAACGAAATAAACGCACGCCACTGACTCAAGGTTTCAAAATCCTGCAACAATACGAATTAGTGCTGCATCAGTAAAAAAGCACCTGTGCATTTACGCTGGCCTCGAAACAATTTCGTGATTCATAAATCGTATTGCCTTATTGACAAAATATTTCAAAGAATAACTTAACTATTCAAAGACCACGTCTTCTTCAGTTCACCACCATTGCAAGACACAAAAGCACAGAGCCAGAACACGTAGTTCTCTACTCAGTACATCCATCCAATAGGACTGCCGCTCCTCTGTTGTACCACGACCAGCTATCTCACCTGGCGCGAAGGGCGGGTGCGGCCGGCGCTCGGTCCTCTCCCGCTCGCACACCAGCTGCGGTATCTGCCGACAGTCCCGGGCCGTGAGCGTCACCTGGCGCTGGTGGAGCGCCGCCACCGTATCCAGTAGAAGTCGGTAGAGCTCGCGGTTAGCTGCGTCGGGATCGTAGCGGTCCGGGTCGCCAGCCGGCGAGGGCAGCTCCAGCTCCGAAAGGTCTGTGGACAAGGAGATAAGCGCTGGCCGTCAGTGACGTGAGCAGAGCAGTCCGATATGAGTCGAATTGCTACAGTACCGCAGTTTGGTGAAAAAAACGACAAGATATCGGATGAGTCTCACCGAAATACCAAACATGCTAACTCCTAAAGCAATATACAGAAAAACCCATTACTACCCAGTCCCCACCCTCCCTCGTAAAACCCAGCACCAAAATTCATTAGCCAACTCCTATAATTATATTCGCATACAATGTACGCATCCAGCGCCTACTCCAGCGTCTCCCGCGCACTCACTTGCACACAACTGCTGTACAGCGTGAAGTCGTATTCGCGTGGAGTTGCACTCACCCTGCACAAGCGTGGAGAGCAGCACCTCGGCCTGCTGACAGCGTCTCAGCAGGCGCGGCAGGTCGAAGCAGAACGGCACCTGCTGAATGGAGGTCTCCGCCGAGCCGGGCACGTGCGACTGTGACGAGCCAGCCGGCGGCGCGGGCACGCTCTCCGTGCCAGCCGTCTCGCACATCATGGCCAGGTACTCCATGGTGACGAGCGTGGAGATGCACTCGCGGTCGAGCTGGTAGAACGTGCCGGCCACCCGATCGTAGGTGAGGTTGTTGAAGTGCACCTGCCGCTCCCGCTGGGTGACCAGGTGACCGCTCTGCGGCTCGATCCAGCACTCTGTGACGATTTCGGCCATCGAGTCGGACTCAATGGATTCCATCTCGGCCTCGCCGGGCTCATCCTCCGACACAGAGAGACTGTGGGGACACGGGAGGGGAGCGGGTGTGAGGGTGTACTCAAAGGCGTGGAGCTGTTTGGACAAGACATGAAAAACATTGTAAAATATTATGCAGCAGATCGCTGATGGCTATTCTAGAAAAAAAAAAAACCTCGACGATGTCAAACAGACGACCAGCCAAACCACGTCAATGGAACATGGACAATCGCAAAATACAAGACAAGTTATCATAGATCTTATGTTGGCCAATCACGTGTTAATTCTATTAAGAGTGGGTCAGTGACCAGTTGCAGCGCTTAGTGCAATGAGAAGTATCTGACGGGCAAGTTCGGTTCCGGGTCTACTCACTTGTCGCCACTGCCGGGCGGAGCCGTGATGTGTGGAGGAAACAGCACATACTGAACGACGAACGGGTGCGACTGGGGCGCCAGCGCGCCGCCGGCCGGCCGGCAGTGCGGGTGCTGCATCTCCAGCTCCAGCACCAGGTTCAGCACCCCGTTCGACGTGTGCGCGAAGCTGAAGCCCTCCTGCAGGCGCGTCTTGATGACGGTGGCGATGATGCGTCCCATGGCGGCCATGGAGAGGGAGGGCCCGCCGGCGTCCTGCATGTCCCACACCCAGCGCCGGTGGTGCAGGTAGCGGGACAGTGTGTTGAACATGGTGCTGGCCGTGCGGTTTTGCGAGCTCACCCGCGCTGGCGTGGGGCGGCGCGCGCGGCCGCGGTCGGCCCGCCGGCTGCGTCTGCTGGATCACAGGGCTCAGAAAGTTGCGCGGCACGCGGTCGTACCGAATCAGAAACTTCTCGACGGGCTTCTTGAGCAGCACGCAGCAGCGCACCTCCTGGGCGGCGGCGCGGCTGCCTCCGTAGTGTTCGACCATCACTCCCCGCTCGGGCGTACCGTCATCAATGGCCACCGTCTTGGGCTGGTCGGGCTTCTCCAGGAGCCGGGCGTGTTTTCGGATCGGCGGGTCGGCCGACAGCGCCGTCTGACTCTCGGTGAACGTCAGCGCCAGGATCCGCTCGCGCAGGTCCTTGACGATCTGGTTGCGCCGGTGGCCTGGCGTGCCTCCCAGGAAGGCTAGCCTCACCACCATACAGGGCGGCCGCACCGCCAGGTTCACCCTCAGCATGTAGAAGGAGGTGGGCGGTACGCACGCTGCCCTCCTCCCTCACTGTCATACAGAAACTTGATGTACGAGTGTCCGTCAAGCAGCGCAAAGTCGGTCACCTGAGCCAGCATGGCGGTGACGGCTTTGGCGGCCTGTCGGCACTGGACCGGGTTGTACCGCCCGCTCGTGTTGGGCAGGTACAGGTGCTTCGGCAGCGGGTGGTCGTGCTCGAGCAGCAGACCGATCCGGTGCGCGTGCATCCACTTCTGCCAGATGTTGATGTCCAGCATGCAGACCGGCGTCCAGAAGTTGCAGAACGCCTGGTGCGTCGGGTCGCTGTAACACCAGGAGGAAGTGACAGAGAGAAACACCAGATTAGCGGTGATGACAATATCATGAACCTCGACCTGAAGTCATTAACCATCGCACATATTCGACTTCTGACCCAGACTATAAAAAGTAGGGCCCAAATGCAAGACATTCCGATTCCAAGGGATCCATGGACATTCAAGAAAGCCTAAGCTGAACTCGTCAGGCTCTACCGCTCTCCATCTCAGCATTGCAGTGGCATCAACAGATGTAAGCTACCTCGCAGGTCCCTCCCCATGCCCGCTCAAAGCTCTCCTTAACCGAAACTACCGCCCGGGGACGTCTCTCTCACCCTGAGAACGGCTCCGGCGCGCCGGTGGTCTCCGAGAGGTAGAAGAGCGGCCCGCCGCTGCGCACCACCTCCGGCACCGTGTACAGCGTGGGACTGCTGCTGAACGAGTGCAGGTGCTCCAGCAACTGGTCGCTGTTCCGCATCGCCTGCAGGTGGCTCCAGAACTTGTTGAACATGGCCTGGCGGTAGGGCGAGCGGGCGCGGTTGGCCGCGCAAGGAGCCAGCACGTCGTGAAGAAAGTCGTAGCTGGCTGTCGGAGAGAATGGGGAAGAGAGTTTAAGTGTTAGAAAAGAACGATACATGGAGCGAAAGGTCAAACATCATTGTAGGGTTCGACAGCCATGCTGTTAATTCAACAGCCATGGATGATGATTTCGCCAAAGTAAGAAGAGTACGCAACCAGCTGCTGTCGATTTATCAAAGAGAAGGACCTCTGAAGACCCTCGCCACTACGCAGCCTATACCTGACCCTCAGCCATGCGCCCACACAGTGCCGCCAGCACACTGAGATCCCGCATCGTGCACAGAGCCCACGCGCTGCCGTCTGAGTGCACCCACCTCGGATATCGAGCTCGAACTGAACGCTGCTGTCCGCACAGCGGGTGGCCGGCCAGGCAGACCTCAGCCGGTACTCGATGAAGATGGAGTACTTCCAGGGCAACACCAGGTCGATCTGCACACAGACAGTAAAATGCAAGGTGTAAGAGTACAGACTGACAGGCTAGTAGCGCTTGAGACAGAAGATAGGCCACCCAATTGCCAGTTCAGCAGCTGTTCTGGACTCGCAGTTACGGCAGGCTGCGATCTTGAACGTCGATTACGGGTACTGAGACAACAATATCATATCGAAGTTAATCACCAAGGGACAGTGAATTATCGTTGCACGAAGGTAAGGCGTTTGAACATATTTACACATCTCCCTAGCCCTATGAGCGGCTGCGAGGCCCAAAGTGAGGCCCATCGCCACCGGTCGGAAGCGCCTAAAGCGACCCTCCCCGCCGCAGTATGACCGGTCGTGCGTCCCCACCTGGATGGTGCTGTCCTCGACGCTGACGGAGCGGATGTTGTACCCCTCCCGCAGTCTGCAGCTGAGCACACTCTCCAGACTGGAGCGGAGCTCTCCAGACGACTGGTGTTTGCAGATGAGGTCCTCCCGCGTGTCGGGCAGGTACCCGGACGGACTGGCGGACAGACACGCGGCGGTTAGACGATGTCGCCCGTCCCCGATCAATACTGCTTGAATGTAGGACGAATTCACTGTGTTTGACTTATCGAAGCACTTTGCACGAGTTAGCATTATAATATACTGTTGGAATCTTTCGTTCCAAACTACCAAAACGTGAAAACTTTAAATTTTATGCAAAAAAAAAACGAATGACCTTCAACAACTGATTGATACACCACACTACTCCAAATACAGCTAGCTGAGAGCATTCATGTCCGTATTTTTTATCAAGAGCTCCTTCCCTTCCTCCCTACGACACTCCTCCGTGCTGTTCCGTGTCCGCCTCCCTCCCTCTATCACCCCGCCCCTCTGCGTACTGTTCGTGCGAGCAGGCCGTGTCGTCTACCTCACTCCCGCCTCCCTCCCTCTATCACCCCGCCCCTCTGCGTACTGTTCGTGCGAGCAGGCCGTGTCGTCTACCTCACTCCCTCCCTCCCCCGTCCCTCTCCGTACTGCTCTGGCGACCAGGTCGCGTCGGCCGGTCCCGCTCCAGTCGCGTGCTCCTCCTCCAGCTGGCTGAGGCCCACCAGACTCTTTTGGAATCCCCAGGAGAGGAAGGCGCGGTGATAGACGTTCATGACGTAGTCGTAGTCTCTGAGCACGGCCGGCAGTCGGACCAGAAGCGCACCGCACGTGGCCGTGGCCAGGAAGTGCATCAGGTCGGTGTAGGGCAGCGAGCCGAGCCCGGCGCTCGGCTGGCACCCGGAGCCCAGCCGCAGGAACGAGCAAGCCACCGTGTTGTTACGCAGCTGCACGAGGAGGGAGTCGAACATGGTGGCGTCCGGGAGGCCGATGGCGCCGTCCGTCACCACCACCAGACCTGTAGGGAAGAGGGACCGTCACCAGTCACAGCAATATCCTCACAACCTGACCTGGAGGGAGGGGAGGTGAGGGTTTGTAAGTCTTCACCTGCCACTGTGGATATCACCCCCACCAGACCTGGACAGGGCAAGAGGAGTTATCGACAGTGACTACTTGACTAGGGCGAGACAGAACGGACAAGCTTATCGCCATTGAACAAGGGAAACCTCGGACGGGGCAGATCATCACCAGAAGACCTGGCTGCGGGATGGGACAAAGTCGGATAATTTTATATTACAGTAGGTCAGTAGTGGGCAGTACAAAAACGAAAAAAACACACCAAGATGAGATTATTCAGGTTATCACCGAATGCTTCGCCGAAACCGTAGCACTGGACCCTTCCCTATCAGAGAGAATGTCGATGGGCTTGCAGTTTGCACATGCCGGCCCTATTCAAACATTTATTAACACAGCGCTGAAGAAGTCTGATACACGAAACCGGTCCGCTTATTCATTTCTGATTGTTTTTTTAACATATTCGTAGACTACTGGCTATTTACTCATACCTGTCCAATATAACTACATTTAGCGTAAGACGGTGTCTGTGTCAGGCATCCCTGAACGATACATGCGCTAGCCATCCCCGTCCAGTGTCTGTGCCTGCGCCGCTGTCTGTGCTGACCTGCGCTGCTGTTCTCCGGCAGCAGCTGCAGGGCCAGGATGCCGTATCGTAGCATGTTGACAAAGCCCATGTCCGGAGAGACCATCGGCACGGCGGGAGAGGCGGCCGAGCTGTCCCCTCCACCGGGCTCGTCTTCAAACAGCTTACCCACCAGCCGCTCCGACTCCAGCTGGGGATACACAACACAATGTGAGACATAACATATTACTGGGCTGCTCTCTCTGACTCCAGCTAGATAAACAAATGAAACAAGCGAGACAAAACATATCACTGAACTGTTCTGACTGTGGCTGGGGAACACAAATGACAAAATGTGAGACAAAACTTAACAGTTCCCAGCCCAGACTCCAGCTGGGGAGCAAACAGTGCACAGAAAAGACAAAGCACACACACTAATAGCCCGTCTAGACTAGCTGAAAACAAAATCAGGCGACACTCCAAAGATCGAGCGGCGCTCAACTCCAGGGCTCCAGCAGCACTAACGAGACCACCCTACCGGCGTTGTGTCCGCGACCCTCACCCTCTGAGCCTCCAGCTGGTCGTTGGCCATGGCCGTCACGTCGGCAAACTTGTCCTCGATGTCGTTCAGCTTGGTGGCCACACAGTCGAGGAAGGAGGTGAGGTTGTTCTCGGTCAGCAGCCAGCCCTGCACCAGCACCTGGCGGCGAGGGACGGGATCCGTGAGCGGAGGTGTAGGCGCACCACCGGACACTCACTGGCTGGATGTGTAACGGTAATTCATGGCGATACCGGGGCCGCTCACAGGCCACCTACACATGTACAGCCGTAGCATCATATGTAAATGACAAACAACTATTATCCATTAACTCAAACACCTAAAATACGTCGGAACGGCTAGCTAATTACGAAATAAGAAGTGCTCGTTCGTGTGGTTAGGAAGTCTGAAAGTTAACAGGCGAAAATGGCTTACCTGGTGTGTCTGGGTGGTGAAGAAGGGCGTATGTGCGATGACAGTGATGTACAGATGAGGCTTGTACAGAAGCTCACTGCCCGGTACGTAGAACTGACGGACAAATGGGCAATAATCAGATGATTCGGCCGAACGTTCAACAAGCCAATCGGAAAGACGGACGGACGCCGGTTATGGCAAACACTGGTTATACTGTGTCTGTAATAACATTCAGACGCTTTGATGAGCGTTCGTACGCACTACAACAAGGTAGCGACATATTCGGTTGGTAAGAGTAAAGACGGAAGCGCATGATCAGCAAGTGAAAAAGGACGATACATGTGTGTAGCACGTCGTAAGTGGCTATTAACGGTTTTAAAACACGGGAGATAGCTGGCTGATGGTGATGAATAAAGGCATAAATAGCATAAGGCGAAAAAATACAATACGATCACGTAACCAAGAACAAGACGAATCATCGATCTATGTCCGTACGCTACAGCTGTCCAGTGTCATATCCAATTAAGCACGCGCGCCACCACATCCGACCGTGCTATCAATCACCATACGGTGTAGACGGACACCTACCGGCCGTGTGATGCCCTCCAGACAGCGTTTCAGCGTGGGGAACACGGCATCCAGCAGCACCACTCCGCTGCTGGTGTCCTGACGGCACATTCAGAGACGGTGAAACGGTCAGACGGACCTGAGGACGCTCAGAGAGGCGCCGGTCAGAGGCGGACACTTGCTTAGAGGCGGACAGTGATGATCTGTTCAGTCAGACTTTGTCCGCAGCCGCATGACGCACAGTGTGGGTACGTTTTTATGGAGCTCCTTAGCTGTCCACCGCCCAGCAAACAGCCTCAAAATCTGGTACGTGAAGAGCGAAGAGCGTGAAGAGCGCCGGACTAGAGTGTCATCGATAAGCAGAAAAGGTCTTTTATCTACGGGACATCAATCTCACTGATCACTGGCCAATCACTAACCTAACTATCTACCATCTATAATAATTGCTAATCATGTGGCATTAGTGTCGAATCCCATCAAAGCGTAGTCACATTCCAATCCCGCGGGCCACCGCACCGCGTGTCCGTCTCCACTCACCACGGTGGCCACGGAGGGGCTGAGGTCCAGGCAGAACACCAGTCGGTACACGTGCGCCAGGAAGGTGAGCCCGGTACGCGCCGTGACCCGGTACCGGTACAGGTGGCTGGTGTCCGAGTCCCAGTCGGGCGGCGGTACCGACGGGATCACCGAGACCACGTCCAGCTCCTCGCCAAACTCCTCCTGACGGCCGGCGGTCACAGAGAGGTTCAGCACCACTGCACGGTGAGACATAAAATAGCCGGACAACGAGGTATAGTGAAAGTGTTCCTCTTATACGGTAACAGAAATGAAATGTAACAAAACAAAGACGGCCTCTATCGACTCTGAAGGCTTCGGAGAAAACTGGTAAACAAAGCGGGTGGCGAGGAAAGAGCCAAAACCTAGACATCCATCCAAAGCCAATCCTCCAGCCTCACCCCCCGACCCGTGTTAAGAGGGCTACCGATGCAAATTGTGACAGCCAGACCATTTTATCAGCATCCGCAGAGACAGTTGAACAGAACTAATCAGGTAGAACAGCATGCTGTCGCACTCTTACTTATAAGCTGTGTTTAGATGGTAGAGAGGGAAGGCGAAAGCACTGTTCAAGAAGAGAGGAGGGGCGGGACGTGTGGCAGTGCGCTACTACTCACCAGCCGGTGCCGTTTGGGCACCTGAATCACGCGGTCCAGGTGGTTGAAGTACCACTGGGCGCGCACGTTCCGCGAGATGCGGTACTCCTTGCGCATCAGCAGGTACACCTGCTCGGCCTCCAGCTCCTCCAGCTGCTCCTCCTCATCGGGAGGAGCCTCCGGGGGGCCGTCCATGGCGGCGGCGGCTCCCGGTCACCGGCGGACCGCGGCGGCGGCCGGCTGACGGCAGCACAGACCGCACCGTCAGCCCGCCCCAGTCGGCGCACACCACCAGCTGCCCACCGTCCGTTTTTTGTCGAGTTGACCTTCCAAGCTTACTGGTCACAAAGGTCACTCGAGGTCACAATATTGGAAACAGCTCATAAAATATACTACCCTGATTTGGATAGCGCTTTTGTATCAATCAACCCAGTGGCCAGTGGTGCCTGAGTTATAGAATGGCTGCATGGTGAAAGTCAAGTACTGAAGTACCTGGATAGATAGTATTGTCTATGAGTGACTTGGTGGTAAGCACTGTCTTACTCATTGACTGGGGTTTACACGCATCTGATTCCCGTGCTTTAGCATGAGAGAGCCAGACTGGAAAACATCAATACACTACGCCGGACGCCCGTGAGACCCTCTTGCGCCGAAATTCGGCGCAAGCGATTTTTCGCTGACATTTCTGCATGATTTGCGCTGAGAATTGGGTGCCTATTTGTGCCAAAATTAAGCCACTGTGCACATCTACCGATCAAGGTTATATCAACCAGACAGAGCGTTCCGGAGCCTTGCACGCTCTCCCATGTTTGAGCGGCCGAATAAGTTTTTTTTATTTCCACGGAAACACCTATCATAATACGCTTAGCGCACTGTGGCGTTATGTCGTGAAAAAAGGCTGGAGCCGGAAGTTCCGGGGCCACAAAAATCGGCGGAGCGGTGTGTTCGAGGCTGGCGGGACTCGGGAGCCAGCGAGGGCCGGGCATTGGAGCAGCACGTGCTCCGGCACATCAGCCTCTTCTCGGCACACGGCGCAGAGCGCCGCAGGGCATAGCTTATCTGGGCACTGCTGGCACGCCGCGGAGTGGAGACAGCCGATTCGGTGCACGTACTGGAGCGAGCGGCCCCAGTGGCCCGCCCTCATCTGGTGCACCGAAACAGTGTCCTCTCGGCAGGGTTGTGCTTGACTCATGAGTCGAGTCAAAAAGTTGACTCAACTCTGACTCAAATGAGTCAGATTTGAGTCGAATCGGATAAATTTTTGAGCTGTTGAGTTGAGTCAGAGTTGAGTCGGACAAAAATATTAAGGCGTTGAGTTGAGTCAGAGTTGAGTCAGTAAAATAACTTTTGACATTGAGTTGAGTCAAACATTTAGGAACATGAGTCAGCTGACTCAACTTTCCAGAAACAAGCTTTTCATTCCCCACCCCCGCTTCCCTGACCCTGTTGCCGGACTTTTTCACCCCCCTCCCCCCGTTCAAGAGCTTTTTTTATCAGAGTCAATTTTGAGTCAACTCACTTGACTCAACAAAAAATTTGAGTCAAGTTTGAGTCGACTCATATTTTCATTGAGCCGCTTGAGTCATGAGTCGAGTCAAGGGAAAAAAAACAGCTCCTTGTTTGAGTCAGAGTTGAGTCAGGGCTTTCTGAGGTTGAATGATGAGTCGAGTCGGTAATTTTTTTTGAGTCGAGCACAACCCTGCCTCTCGGTCCTCTCCGGGGATAGGGAGCGGCGGCGTGCTCCAAATATTGAGGCCTCACCTGAGCAGACACTCCACCGCCGAGTAGACTAAGGGTGGCTTGCCAGCTCAAGAACTTGACATTGACGATTCGGGTGGGGACGTGTCATCCTGAAACCTTTCCAGAGCCACCGCAGGGCGAGTCTGCTGCTAGATTGACCAGCGTGCTGACTAAATTCTGTGACCGTCTTTTGCAGAAAAATTTGGCGGCCGCCCTGCGCCACAAATTCAGCTGCCACCATGTGCTGAATTCAGCGCATGTGAAGGTACGCCAGACATGTGCTGAAATTTTGACAGCGATCCTGCCACTACGCCGGACATATCCAGCATAACATGTACTTTTCCAGTCTGGTGAGAGGGTAGTTGATATGCATTATGAGTGTAGGAATTAGGAATGAAGTTAGCTAAGGTTAGTTCTCATTGCCTTGTGCTAAAATTTGAGATAATCCGCTTCAGAAAAATTTCTTTTAACATCTGTAATGTAAATATTTTTATTTCTGGCATGCAATACAAAATTATGTCACAATCCAGCCACAGTGCCACCTATGCCAGAGCCCAGACAGACCTGTCAGCTGTCGCTGGTAACAATTAACATGGATTGTTTCCAGTCATTTCCAGCCTGGGTACAATAGCTGAGTGATACGACTTCTCATTTCAATTATCAAGAATACTAATGAAGTGTAAATGAGCTTCATTAAGAAAAAATAGCCAAACAACTCAACACATTCCGCATAAGCATAATTCATGAATAACAACTCAAAATTGAAACTCAAAAATGAACCGTTACCCACAGCTAGCTGACACACTTACCTTGTTATTGAGCCTTGATACACACCAGCCGTGAATCGTTCATCAACTGGAACCTTACGTTGCTTGTTTTATGCTTATGAGTTAGGTATTTGTATTAGCTATCATGGCTATCATGCTTCATTTTACCGCCGCCTTGTGTATTGGTGTCATGCGGCGGTCAACAACGCACAAAACCAACAAATGAAACTAGTGCGCCACAGTTGTTTCCTCTCGTCGCTTCCATATCAATGTCAAATAACTTTACCTCCAACTACCAGATTCTAAATGCTCATGTTACCTTCAAAACACGAGCCCCACACAGAAGTTCGGTGGCCGAACTTGTATGGCGAGAAACTGTGCACTGTGCAGTGACTGCCAGGGTATACCTATAGTATAGAAGTAGCTGCAGCCTGCAGTGAAGGTTGTAGGTTACAGGTTGCAGTTGTAGGCTGTGGGTTCCGGTTGTATGCTAATGCTAGGTTAGGTTGGGAAGGTTAGATTAGATATGAACTCCTATCTGAAGTGTATTTTACTTAATTTGTATTATTTATTCTTTCATATTATTTCATCTGACAAATAAAATCTTCATGTGTGACCTAACCTCACCTAAAGCAGCCTACAGCATACATCCTACTGCCTACAGGCTACAGCCTACAACCCACAACCTACACTGCATGTTTCTCGCATAGGTACTAACAAATATACGCCCGCCGAGCGACTCACTTCTACGCTGTAGCGGATGGGGGGGAGGGGGGGGACGTTACACCCGCTCCCAATTCTCAGGAACAGTACCTACCTACCGCCCCCGTTTTGCACAATTTATTTTCGCACAAGCTAAAATTTTAGACCCAAGTCATTTTGATTTGCCTGAACATTATGTCACGTCACTTGATCCAGAAAGTAAGTCCCCAAGCTACATCGGGATGGACAGAAGACAATTGCTTTGAAGCTACTCATTCTACTCATCCTTTAATGATCGTTCAGTGTTTGCCATGGGCCGCCCGAGACAGACCAAAGAACCATGGGCTGGGCCCTCAAATATGAAGAATCAACGGACTGTGAACGGGCCTTTGCAGGTGCATGTCAGATGTTGCCAGATACAAGTTATTGTGGTAGTGAATTGAATGGACTGGAGTCAATTCAATCAGTTCAACAATTTGTTAATCAATGTGAACCCATGAGCCTGGGCCGGGATGGGTTGGGCCGTTTGGGGTTTTATGGCCCCTGGCGAACACTGATTGTTTTGCGCGGACAGCGCTGAGCGCCCCGTAGGTATCGGCTTCTGGCACCTACGCAAACGCACTAGTATCCTCCCGGTCACTTTTCCCATCAGTGATGAGACCGCACATGGCGTGAGATTCCTCCACGTGCAGGAGAGCACCGAGTCAGCACTATGTTCTTACACACCGCACGCACATTGCGTGGTATGCAGACGTATATGTAGTTTGTGTCGTCTGGCGAGCCGCGCCAATCCAATATGGTAACAAGACAAGACTAAGTAATCCTTTCCGATACACGCTTCTGTCTAGCTAGACCTAGAGTAATCCTTTCCGATACACGCTTCTGTCTAGCTAGACCATGTATATGAGACTCAAGTTCTACATTGGCACTTTCGCGTTCTATGCATTTTAACTAAAGAGGTCACTAAATGACATTGACCTAAGTGATCCGTGAAGAAGCTGGCGATCTAAAAACGAAACACATGAACCCAATATGAACCCATCTACCCCTAACTTCACCATGAAATACCAAAATTCGTGTTCCTCCCATTTGATTGAACAATCCGTGGAAGCTGATGCAGCCGAACTCGCATACAAAACCTTGCAAAAAGTACGCATCGTATATTGCAATAAACAATTTATACGCACACCGCCAGCAAGAGCGCGTCACCTCTGGATGGGTCAATGGCGAGCACCATGAGGGGTGTTAGTATGCCACCAAGTTTGCAGGAGACCGGTACGACAGTCCACTGACAGCGGGCGGGGCGGCACTGGGTCGCCCCGGGTCATCGTCGGGAGCGTTTCTTGCTGCGGCCACCGCGAACAGCCGATCGGCGGGCACGCTTATGCCCTCGTGCAGCGCCCGGACCGCGAGCCGCCGCCAGCAGTCGGGAGAGCCGCTCCGGCGACTTGGTGTCGGCGTCCTCCACCGCGTCACTGCTCCCACCTGCGAACACAGCACAACGCATCAATGGTTCGCAGAGACAAACTACAGCCAAACTGCCACACTCGCAAACAACAGTCACAACAATGCTTGTGACCGAGTGCGTGAGAGAAAGAAGAGTAAACCGTCATCGTATTGAGGCAGATCATAGTTTGAATCAGAACACGCACGAAAGCAAAGGACAGGCAGCAACCAAAAGTACGCACGAAGCCAGCAACCAGATGATACGCACCTAACGATAGAGCGGGGGGGGGGAGTGCTCAGTGAACAGCGTGTTTCTGCAGCAGCAGCAGACGCTCGTGAGAAGGCTGACGGAACGAGTCGCCGCAGGTCAACGGAGCGCAGAGCCAGCGCAATAAAATAAACCGGACGTTTCAGTGGGTACTTGCAGTGCGCCAGTGTGCGACGGGCGCCCCTACCACACATATTTTACGGTTCGCCAGTTCGGCAGATCAGGGATACCATTTCGCCCAGGAACCGTAAACCCAGCAGGGATTGCAGGGTGGCGTTCTGATACCAGGAGTTCCCGTAGTTCGGCAGGCCAATGTAGATTGAGTCCTTGCTGTACTTGTCTGAGTCGGCGGCCGGATGGCCGGGCTCAGGGAAAACAAAGCTAACCAGGAAGAGCAGTCACAGGCAGAAAGCGATTGCAGAAGCGGTACTGCCTGCGTGGTGTGAACTGCAGAATGGCTCTGCTAAGCAAGTAAATATGCATGTTACTGTAATATTCCTACTAGTGTTGTGTGTGTGTGTGTGTGTGTGTGTGTGTGACTGAGCCTTTCCATTAGGTGCCTTGCGCAGTACGACACGACAGCCATACGTGTCCTGGCTGGTAGGATGTCCCACTGGCACTGACCCACACGTCTGGTCTCGTCCTTCTCCAAGGCACAGTCGTGGCGCCAATATCTGTCAGTGAGCACCTGCCGGTGCCCTGGGCCATCAGCAGTCGCGAGGACGAGGCGGCCGTGTCCGCGATGGTGGGCGGCCTTCGCGACACCTGCGACGAGCTGGGCTATCAGTTCCCAGCTCCTCAGTACCTGATGTCGGAAAAAGTCATGGCCTTTTTCAACGGCTGAGTGTCGGCCACAGGTCACCAACACCTGCAGTACCTGCTCTGTTCCTGACACCTACAGCGGGTCTGGAGGAGCAAGCTGGCGAAAATTCAAGCAGCAAGTACGTCATTTGTGTTTCCTCGTGGAACTGACCTAGGACGTCCACAATCTGATGTCACGCTGTTTCCTTCCACTCGTTTCCTTGGCTCGGAACTCGGAAATTAGGTAATGTTCTTAAATTACCGGTAAGATAATTTTCACCTGCTGAAGAAGAAGCACCTACTGGACTTGGAGAGCCAGGACATCATCGAGAGGGTCACAGGGAGCTCACCGTGGATCTCCCCTGTTGTTGCCACCCGGAAAAGAAACGGTAAAATCAGGATGTGTGGACCTGAAGAAGAATGAAGCTGTCATTGCCAATGGCCACCCCTTGCCGAATATGCAGGACATGTTGGACAACCTGAACGGGGCCCATGTTTTTTCAACGCTGGACACGTATCAGGCGTTCCACCAGCTGCAGTTGCATGATGACTCAAGGGATCTGACTGCATTTGTAACCCATGAGGGAGTCTGGCGTTACAAGCGCTGTCCGTACGGCCTGAAGTCCCTACCACAGTGTTTTCAGCGCATGATGGAGGCGATCCTGGGCAAGATGCCTGGAATTCAGGTGTACACTGTACATGGATGATGTGATTGTCTTTGGTAGGACGGCAGAGGAGCATGACACCAGGCTAGAGACTGTTCTGGATAAGCTCCGGCAGCACAACGTGACTCTCAACCTGGAGAAGTGCTGTGTCAGAGGGGCGGCTGTCGAGTTCCTGGGCTTCACAGTGGGAGGAGCTGGGATTGCAGTCAGCTAGGAGCGGCTCACCGGTCTGCGCCGGATGCCTTCGCCGTCGACCCTGAAGGAGCTCCAGACTGTACTGGGGATGTTCGGCTTCTATCCCCAGTTTGTTCCCAGGTTCAGCACTCGGGTTGAGCCGCTGCGACAGGCTCTTCGGAAGGCCGCTGCGACTGGTGGCCGGGCATGGACGGGGCGATTGATTCACTCCTTCATAACTGCGCGCTGTGTAGCATGCATGGTAAATCAGCCAAACCGTGCAGGCCTCCGCTCCAGCGGGTAACCATGCCAGCAGGCAAAAACAGTTCGATTCCCAACCGTGAGAACAATGCTTCTCGTTGTGCGTGAAAGAATACAATGATTTGGCGGCCCGAAGGACATTTATCATAGAGCACCCGAACGGATTTATATCGTAGCGACAGACATTCGATTCCGCTACAGTGACAGCGACAATCAACTCCGCTACACTACACGTATGCATGTGTAAAATATGAAAGTCTGATGTAGAATTTGGAATATTGCTGTGCTTGTCTGTGCGTGCATGGCAGACACGTGCTTTGAGCTACCTACAGGTGTGATGGCCAAGAACGTTGAGACTGGTCATCGGAGCGGCGGCGGCATCCGCCCAGTGCCCACCAATATGCCGCCGCCGCCGACGCCGCTGTCACGTTACACGCCTGTCGATGTGATTAAAAGGAAGGAGGGCGGCCAAAGATGCACATGAGAGAAAGAAGTTTGGACGAGATGGGCTTACGGCGACGAACGCTGACATCGGGCGGCTTACGATATCCGACGGCGTTTACAAGGAATGCTGAGCGCCGCTGCGGCACGTGCTCAGTCGCTTTCATTACAAGATTCACAACACCGTGCAGTTCCTCACAGGATTACTCCACGGGGTACAGACACAGTTTGCTTTATCTCCGAGCCATGGGGTGGCCGTATCAGTGACAGAAGACTGACTGATGAGTCCGGCTTACTGGAGAACCTACCCAAGGTGATGTCATCCTAGCCGACTGAAGATTCGACATCCAGAAGTCCGCCAGACTGTTTTTTTTTTCATATATATTATATAGGCGCGCTCACAATCAACT